TATAGCAGTACCTACGCAGTTATATTAACGAGAATCCTAGGGATTGGGTCAATCTCCTATAGCCTATAGAATTCGTATATAACAATAGTATACACTCATCAACTAAGGTTTCACTATATATAGCTATAATAGGTTAAAACGCCGCGTTACTATAAGATCTATTTACCTCGCTCGAGGCCGAGCGTAAGGAAAGGGAAGCGCGTTAAGTACTAGAGACACTAGCGGCAATAGAACGTATCTAGAAGATGCGAGAAATCTATACTAAGATAGCCGAGAAGTTGACAAAGGCTTAAGAGTACTAAAAGACCTACTACGACAAGCACTACACGCCGATAACCTTCAAACAAGGCGATATAGTTATACTAAGCACTAAGAACCTCCGCATCCGTAAGCACCTATTACCTAACGGCAAAACAAGGCCTAAGCTCGCACTAAGATACATTAGCCTATTCCGCATTCGAGAAGTTAAGGGCTCCTCCGTATAGGCCTATTAGTTATAGCTCCTACCTTATTATACTATCTATAACACCTTCTATATATCCCTCCTTAAGCTATACTACCTACGCGAAGGGGATGAAGCCCCTATAGAACACGAAGACATACTAGCGGATAGTGAGGAGCTATAGTCTATAGAACGTATCCTATAGCATCGCACTAGGCAAGGTAAGAAGGAGTACCTGCTAAGATAGCAAGGCTATTTACCTAAATGGGACTCGTAGGAAGCTAAAGACTCTTTTAAAGACATAACTGAGTTGTTAGATAAGTATTAGACTAGCGTAAAGAACAAGAAGAAGGCCAAGGGCCTATAATGTTACTAGAAAAGGCCTAGGAACAATGCTACCCCTGGGGTGCTATTAAGCTAACTAATTAGAGACAAGCAAGTATTAGCAACAAAGGACAATAAGACTACACTAGGCGCGCTACGACGCGTTAATCAATTAATCGCATACTCTTTCAAGGACTCTACCTCTTTACTAACGCGCCCTATAGGTCCCCCTCTTATTTCTTTATTCTATCGGGACCTCGAGACCTAGGCGATCGGCGCGGCCGGCGCGGCCATATTAGTAACGGTATTACCGAGTTGTTATTAGTTAAAGAAGGAAATTAAAAGAAGGTAAAGTTAGCGCTAAGGCGACTAGCGCTACTATTGTTAACATTACTTACTATTATCGCTACGCCTACGGACACAACCTTACCTGCACTACGAGCCTAAGGCACCTTTAATTAAAACTTTGATTAAAAGCTTTGAGCCTATTAAAGGTTTAATTAAAAACTTTAAGGCTAAGTTAAAACTTTGACTAAGTTAAAAGATTGAGCGACTAATAGACTAACTAAGGGCAAAACTATAGAGCTAAGCTAGCTAGGGTCGATCTTACGGACAATAGGTTACTCCTCGATCTATCTAACCCTTTAAGCGAGGCGAACCTCTACTACTGTACTTATAATAGCCTTTACTTATAGAAACTAGACGAGCTGTGTTTTTTGAAAAGATAAGATAAGATTAACACTTGAAGGCTACTAAACCTAGCCAATTAGGGCTAGCGAAACTACGAACAATAAGAACAATAACCCTCGGAAACGGACAAACCCTCGAAAGCGGACATTGCTAGGTCTTTTAAGAGTAGACGCAAAGAACTCGATACGACATCACTTAGAACGGAGGCAGTGCTGTAATACCTCGTACGTCTACCTATTATAGCAGAGAAGACGCGCTCGTATTGTAATTAGTCGAAGGCCCTCAATTCTTATAGATATATATTACTTTATAGTTTATTGTATATAGAGATAGCGTAGTTGGAGTTATACATTGTGTTGTTTAGAGGTGAGGTTTGATATAGTTATATAATTAGGTAGTTGAGTGTTCAATTTAGCGTAGGCTAAGCAGCTTATTAGACTTACTAAGTTAGCGGCAATAGAGGTCGTAGAATATAGATAGGCTACGAGGGCGCGGCCTTTAGAAGGGAAGCGTATATTAGAGCTAAAGAGGCTATACGTAATTGGTATGTAATTAGGCCGAGTGAAGCTAGGGTCTTAGTGCCTTAGGCAGGGCTTAGCGCTTAGCGTTAGGCGAACTCTCCTACCTTCCTCCCTCTCCTCCTAGATCCTTATCGAATACTACTTATACCTACTACCACCCTATCTACCTACTAACATACCCTTCTTACATCCCGCCCTTCTAATAGATATACGTCGGTAAGTAATTAAGAATACTACTATCGTTAGGTAGGATATTAAGTATAGTAAGGTTTAGAGATATATTCTTTTAGGCTACATATCGCGTAGTAGGGTGCCTATACTATTTAGTAACTTCCTTCTTATATACTCGGAACTCCTTCTTAAATTAACGTATCGTACTACTATCGGTATTAGTCCGCTTTAGAATATAGATATTAACGTCGCTTAGAAAGAGGGGAATCTACTAGGAGAACTCGTACTACCCTAAGGAAAGTACGTAATATAGCTTTATAGCTTATATTAGGTCTCGCGAACTTAGTAGACTTCTATTATATAGTAGGTATAGGCTATAGGAAGCTTATTAGTAGGAGTTAGCTCTAGTAGGTTATAGTACTTAGAGCTAGGTCTAGGATCTATATTATTCTCTATAGATATAGGTATAGGGCTATCGCTACGTTTCCTTACTAGATCTCGACTCTCTTTATACTACTTATAGACGCTAGCCGAGTTATAGCCTATATTAAAGCGCTTCTCGTTCTATATTTTATATATATCGAGCTACTTAGATATTACGTTAATCGCCTACTTAGAGCTTAGTATTAAAGTATTATCGTAATCTTATAGAGCTTAGCCCTCGTTTAGATAATCGATATACTCGATAAGATACTCTTTATAGTTAGGTAGGTAATCGAGATTATTAGAAGATTACTAGGTAGGAGCGGAGCTAATAGTACTAGTACTAGGAGCTATATTAGGTAGCGTAGTTATTAGACTAAGTATATTACGGCAACGAATATACTCCTTCTCGTACTATTAATTATTCTAGTTAAAGTTAGTATAGATATAGTAATAGCTTCCCTTATAATACTACTTTCTTTTATAGCTACATTTAGCGTCTATAGTACTACTATTATTCTAGATATAAATCTTATTACCCTAAGTACGCTTCTACTTATTTACGCGATTATACTAGTAGTTATCGTAGTTAAAGTAAGGTAGCGCTAGGGTAGTACCTTCGTCGTTATCTAAAGAGTTAGTATCTTAGTTTTTCTACTAGAACTACCTTAATTTCTATACTCGATTTATAGTAGTATCTACTTATCTCTATAGTAGACGAGTCGGCCTACGTCTAGGTATAGGTAGGGCTAATACTTCTCGACGAGGTAGCGCTTTAGTACTACTAGTAGTACGACACTAAGCGCGGTCTATATATAATATACTTACTCCTTTAGCGAGTAAGAGCTATATCGCGATCTTTATTAGTATCTATACCTCTATAGCTATATCCTTCGCTAGTATTATCTACTCGAGTTATAGTTTATAGTCGACTAGTATATTCGTAAGCACCGCTAGGTCTAGCGCCCTTCTAGTACTTACTATAGGTTTTATATAGAATTAGCTTTCTATTCTTATCGTATATACTAGTAAAGAACCTAGTATTCTCTTTTATAGTATTATAAGTACTATAGTTCTATATACTAGGCGGTACTAGTTAGAAATCAGGCTTATCCGCTAGAAGCTACTTCCTATCTAAACTACCCTTTAGTAGACGTTAGCTATTATCTTCTAGTATAAGAGTTGCTATATTTCGAGTAGTATATCTAATTGTCGAAAGATAGTAGAATCGAAAGTAGTAGAGTTATAAGGTAGAATCGTAAAGATATAAAAAAGTAGGAAGAATACTAAACCTATACGTTATTTCTTAGGTTCGTTTACTATACGTTAGCCTATCTATTTATATATAAGATACGTAAAGTTATCTATAAGTTAATAAGTATTACTTTATCCTTAAAGTCGTATATATATAGTACGATTATCTTGCCTTTAAAGTCGTATATGCGTAGTACTATTGTTTCCCCTTCTATTTACGAGGGAGATCCCTATAGACCCCCCTCTACCGCTATACTCGGTCTTTCGCTCCGTAGGGCATGTGCTAGCTGGTGCCCCGTAGGCTTGGCGGCTGGTTACGCGAAGACTCGAGAGATGCACACTGTTGTAGAACGCCGCACAAGAGGTGTGGTTGCGCAGAAGTTACGCCTCTGGTATACCCGAGTTTTAATTTGGACCAATTGCAGAGCGCCAAGAAATCGACCGACGCGCAACAGCACACGAGCGTAGCTCCCCCCAGTCATGAGTAGGTGCAGCCTTGCCAAGCCAAGTGCTGTGGCATAGCCATGCAGATCTTGCAGCTGCCAACGCCTCTCGCTGCATCATCTCCGCGGAATGAGGCCTGCGCGTGAACGGCCGCCTTTACCCAAGTCTTCTGCAAGGTCCATGGTGTGCACATGTATTCCAGCAACCTGCGAAGTGCTATGTGCTTGATGTGAGAAAAGCACAAATGCTGGCTTCACACGCACATTGCTCTTTCGTCTCGGATTTCTGGTGCAGCTATAAGGCAACAGGGTGCCTGTTCTGACGTTGAGTTGCCCTGCATTGGCTCCCGACCTTTCTGAGTCTTGATGGGAGGAATGGCCAGACTGCAAATGCTCTGAGAAACAAACTGCTTGTTTGGTCCAGTGGCACCTACAACATTGATTCCTCCGCCGGGGTCTCGCGCGCCGCCTCTTACCGTTCCATTCATGCAGTGTAGAAGTCTGAGATTTCATGTGATCGACCAGAAGGAAGGCAAAAAAAAAAAAAAAAGGTTAAGCTTTGATTTGGTGACCAGGGTGTGTCGGTATTCTACAGCGTGTTGCCTCCGATCAAGAGCGGGCCGGGTGAGACGAACGACAACGATGGTGCCACTGCCTTTCAAGTTTCCGGGAGCGGCGCCAGTAGTAACGTTAAGTTAGCTCGCGGCGTAACCAGACTCCTCCTCAGGCTCGATGCCTTACATGATGCAACAGCGCGAGCAATCGCAAGAGTCAGCTGGCAGTGATCCAGCTATCCGTAAGTCCCCGCTGTCACACCACTCCTCATCCCACTTCACCACCAATGCATCCATGCCTCCGACGAGCAGTAGCTCACCATCGTCTTATCGCACAGTCCTCGCAAACAACCCGAAGCTGCATCTGCCGTCCACCACCGATCCGCCGGGCGAAGCACACCCGTACTCGCAAAAGTCATGGCTTATATTTGGCGCGACGGGCCATGCTGGGCGAAGTCTGGTCAAGTCTGCGCTGAGCCATGGTGACAATGTCACTGCCGTCGGTAGGACGCTGGAGAACACGATGCACCAGATGCAGGGCTGGCATGAGAGGTGTCAAGGCCTGCTGTGCGATGTAAGAGTGAGAGATACTGTAGACTGGGTAATCAAAAAGAGCATTGAAAAATGGGGCAAGATCGATATCATTGTGAAGTAAGCTTGCGCGGCTGCACCAGAGCTTGGTGCGAAGAGTTGAATGTTGACTTTGACTAGCTGTACTGGCTATGGAGTAATTGGCGCCTGCGAGGACCAGGACGACTGCGATTTGCGCTCTCAGTTCGAGACCAATTTCATGGGCACTTTAAACATAATCCAGCTCTCGCTCCCGCATTTCCGCGAGCAGTCGGCGAAGCGCAAAGAGGGCGAGAACGCCGGACGCTATATCATATATTCCTCGACCTCTGGCGCCCTTGGAGTACCCGGCCTAGGGCCGTACTGCGCGACGAAATATGCGACCGAGGCTCTGATCGAGAGCATGTTGTATGAAATCGATGCGTTTGGTATCAAGGCTTCGCTGGTCGAGCCTGGACATATGCGCATTGATGAGCCGACCGGCTTGGACGACAGGGCGCCGCATGACTACTTGAATGGTGAAGGTGTGAGGATCAAGAAGTATGGCCACTTCCTGGTAAAGAGGCCATCGGAGCCCTACAACACACCTACTTCGCCCGCTGGCCATGCAAGACGAATCGTGCGGTGGCTTTCAGATCGCCAACCCACGAGCGCAGTGAAATCGGCGGAGCTCGTATGGCAACTAGGCCATTGTCGATATCCTCCCTTGCGACTGCTACTTGGCAGCTACGCAGTGGAGAGTGTGAGAGATAGGCTGAGGAGCGTGATCGAAGAAATCGAAGACTGGAAGCACTTGCACTTCCCTACCACGGAGGAGAACGAAAAAAGCAAGACTTCAAAGGCAGGCACGGATGATAGAGATGAGGAGAAAGAGGACGATGGCGATGCGATGGATGTTGGCGAAGAATATATAGGAGATATCAGAGAAGGAGAGGAGGAAGGATGAAACGAAAGATTGATACCCTCTCGAAGAATTTAATGTTGAATGCTGATTCCTTTCCAGTGCGGAACTTATGCCCGGAGGCAGCCACAATTTTTGCTGTTCTGCAATGAATCAAAATTTCCCAGTCTTGGAACTGGTTGGTCGGCGATAAGTTATGGGGGAGCGTGGCGCGCTCTCGTTGTATTATCTTCAAGTTGCTCACGCAGCGATGCACATTTGTGGCGGTTTGCCGAATCAATCAATTACTTAAACCTCTCGCAAGACTGGACACATGAGGATGCAACTGCTTCGTATATCTCCTCTCGAGACGATAGCCCAACCAATAACCCTTCCATGCTGCCTCACCCTACCCAAACGCCTCTTCCAACGTCAAATGGAACTAACTCTCGCCAAACGCCGCACCTTCGACCCACCAATCTCAAGATTCTCGAGAAGACGCTCTTGAATCAGGCTTACAATGGCGAGCATGTCGCATCTCTCTCGGATGGAAATGGTCCGTTGGGCTCATGCCGTCGAAGGTCATGCATGGGAGGTGGATGGACTATCGATCAAATTTTCTCTTACAATTTTATGCAGCGACTACGTGCCGAACTGCTGAGCGGCCCCCTACGTCTTCTTCAAAAATTTTATGTCTGGGTTTGAAAAATGTGCTTTCGCAGACTTGCATTTTGGAGAGCAGTGGCTTCGACATATTAGTTCTTCTCTGGCCAATAGTATAGACATGCCCAATTCTGCAATTCCTGCAACGCTTGCGCCGTCTATTGTCCTCGCGTAAGCGCTGGTTGGCGCCACAGCCTTTCGATAGCGCTGATATTGCGGCTGCTTTATATAAGACTCTCAGCTTCCTGGCATACGAGCAATTGTTCTACACACCCCCTTTCCTATGCTTCTCAGTTATTCTTGCCTTCCATTCTCATTAGCAGACTTCTAATCACCCAATTATCTCCATCATCAGCCTTGTTAACTTTCAATCTCGCAATTGCGAACGCATTCTCTTTTCTCTGCAAGGCATCTCTCAAGTCTCGTAGTCGCCTCTCCTTCAAGCTCCGCTCGGACTCCCTTTCCTGTATTGTCCTCTCTTCCCGAAGCTTGACTTCTTCCCTCGACTCTTGGACATAGTTGTTGATTGTTGATTAATCACAATCACATACTAAATATCACAATTACAACTGATTGTGAGTGATTAATTATATAATCATAATCATAATCACAAGATTAGGGTAAGCTAGGGCAAGCAGCCTGCCTAAGGCTAAGTAAGCATAATTTAGACCTACTTTAGCGAAGGAGCGACGTACTATTTCTACCTAGGTAGGCAATAAATATACTTTATACCTAGAAGAACTTATATATTAAGGATGCCAATATACAGCGAGCTTATCGCCTTGTTTAGAAGGCTAATATAGCCTAGAAAGACACATCCTCGTCGGAGGAAGTGATTGCGTAATTATAATCACAATCATTTTGCCGGGAATCATAACCACAATCACTGTGATTGTGAGTGATTATGTGATTAATCCAATCAACAATCAACAACTATGCTCTTGGAGAACGATTTGAGATAAGTGGAATGTGATCCATGATGTCCAGTCCTTCTGTTGGGCTTCTGCCGCGGCCGAGATACTATTGAAATCGAAGATCTGCTGCTCTAGAGCTTGGATTGATTCTTTGATTGCAGCTATCGATGACTCGAATTCACTCTTTCTGCTGTTCCACTCCGCTGCGCGTTGAATCTTTGCCTTGCGAAGAGCTTCGATTTGAATTGCTTCAGGTGACGGCTTTGGAGGTTGCTCTGGTTGGGGCGCTGCATCGTGACGCGTTCTATGCTGGGCAGCTGAAGTAGAGACGCGGTTCTGCCTACTAGTGTGATAGACTCGATCGTATGCTCGCCGCTTAACAGGATCAATCAGTGTTTCGAATGCCTGCCCCAGTTTCTGAAAGCACGCAGTGGCATCGCACTCGCTATTTCGATCCGGATGTAGCTTCATGGCAAGGCTCCTGTATGACTTCGTGATCACTTCGGCTGTTGCAGACTGTTCGACCTCGAGGATCTTGTAGTAGTCATCTTTTGGTGGTGGCGGCGGCGGCATAACGAGGCAGTCAGAGACCAATGGTCGGTCTGGTAATGCTGCGCTTGTTGATCTCTAGGCTGTTGTCAAATGCAAAGGCTCGAGTCGGAGTACGTTGTCGGCAACGAAAGTCATTTAAGTATGTCTCCATTTGAGAATAGTCGGCTGGGTGAAGCGCACGGGCGTTTACGCGTGTTTCAGCCTTGCACTGAGAGACATTCACCTGAACATGTTTCACTTTCTCGTGCTTACATCATGATCGATGAGCACACAACAGGATGCATCAACTGGAGTTGGAAATGCTGTTGGCAGTGCAGCCGTCTTTGACTACGCATGCGTGAGCGAAGAATCGGAGATTGGGCGAGCATATGACTGCTCACCGTTGCTCGTACATTTGAGGCCGCCGTCTCAGCTTTGAGTTGTTTCCGTGTTACTGACATCGCCTCGAGGCCTTGCTATACGTGTCAATCTGCTTGAGCCAGCCATGACAAAATGCTCACCGACTTCAGATGGCACCACATTTGCATTGTGAGAAGTACATCGAGGCGCATGAGTTTGAGCTTCAGGTTGATCAAAGGTGCTTGTGATCGAAATTGCCCTTCTTAGATAGCCACGCGGGCTACAAGGCGGCGGTACAGAGGGCCACCATGGGTATAAATCATTCTGGTTACGGGTATATGTGGTTATGGTTGTCGTAGAAGTCGTGCTTGTATTCACTGCATAATCGAAGGCCCGATCATCTATCGTGGCCGCACCAGCACAGTTTGAAGGGGCATTATACACCCTATTCGAACCAGTGTCCCATGTGAAATCCCAGTTCGCCTCTCTCATAAGGTACTTGTGCTCGAATGACGTTCCTACCGCAATCTCCATAGCAGTATAACAATGCGGATTGCAATCGGTATAATTCGTGGCGCTGAGCTGGACGGCGTTGTTTGTTTGCAAACTTCCCAGCCGTGGTATGCTGCCGGCAATGTAGATGAGTATGAGAGTCCAGGCCCTTGCTGCAGCATATGCCGAGATTGAACAGTCCGCATGTGAAGTCGCAAAAACGAGAACGAGCAAGGGTTGAATTTGGTATAATGCCATTCGTGCATGGCAGCAACGGCTCACCAAGACGGTCTCAAATAATTTTGACGAGATCTTTTGTCTTGTTTCGTCTGAACATGGACAACAAGGACGATTTGAACCTCGTCCAACCTAAACCGACAGCGCCAAAGCGACGATAGAGTGGGTTTCCATATTGGTCTTTATTCGACGTCGGTTCTAAGATTAGCATTTGGGTCCATTTGGTTTCACCCGTAAGTCGAATAATTGGCAACAAGACCAGATCATTTCTCACTGGTTCAGTATAGCCTTCGACGTACCGCTCGTCAGGACAGACACCATCACCATTGTCGATATTGAGCGTGCCGTATTCGCATTGAAGTTGTGGCCAGAATTTTGGCCGTGGTCTGAAATTGGTTTCGGCTCTTTTCCATTCCAGCTTGGTTTTAATCAGACGGCCTCGCAGCGTAATTGAAGATCCAGGTCGGACACTTCCGAATGGGTCATCGACAGCTTCAACATCGATTGACGCGACTTCGACGAGTGTCTCGTGTTCCTCGTATTGGTATTGACCGCTCATCCGAATGACCCAGTTGACCGATGCCCAGGACCATGAAGGCGCTTGGTAGGGAGAATCAGGGTACTCTGGCCGTATGCGCAGAATGTTACCATTCACATGTGTCGGTCGTCCTACCATCAGGGTATACCACAATAAGCTGTATGGCAGACTTTCCCTCCAGTGTCCTGCTTTGTAACTAGCCGGAGTAGTCTTAAGAAACGGCATCAAATGCTTTGCTAGGCCAGACACTGCGATGAGCTTATCCGCAGACTTGGTGTACTCTAACGCAGCGAAGGCGAACGTCATCGTGATCCATGTTGACATAAGATTGAGAGCCACGTCCATGTTTTTCGTCATGAATTGCAGCCTGGGAGTCAGTGATCTGTCCTTCAGAGCACCAGATTTGATCAGGGTAAGATCTTGGATAATGCAGCGGTTTCGTGGAGGTCGGCCAATGGAGAAAGTTGGATCCCCATTTGGCCATGCTTCTCTGCACATTTTCTCGTAGCATTCGAACCAAATCTGGTCCCTAGCAAACGTCAAAATTCTTTTCGACAAGAAACGCTCCTGCGCTACCCAGCCTCGCCGCATGATCGGTGCTGTCGTGAGCGAGGAGTGCCAAGAGTCTTCCGGAAGGAACAGATATGTTCCTGGCTTTGCAAGCTTCTTGTGATCGTCTCCATATGCGGCAATCACCCGACTACGTTTGTCAAAGCTACAGTGGGCAATGGTTGAATGTAGAGCAGCCGGGTCGTGCGCCCGGAACATGCCCGCAGAGACAGACACGTCGGCATCGTCAACTGATGCAGCAGCGATTGTACAGACTGCATGCTTGTAGATATAGGCCATTTGCATGGCTTGCTCTTTCCAGTCCGCGAGGTCGTCGCCATCTTGGACGATGCAGAGCGAATCAATCCAGATGTATGACACTTGAAGATGTCGGCACACCGCGATGGCGTCAGCGAAAACCTGTGAAATTCCAGACTCTCCGGGTAGCGGTATGCTGACGCGAAGTTGTTCAAGGTTCGACGAGGTCAGCAAGAGCATATCCTTGATCTTGTCGGGGCTTGCCGGCCATCGATGTGTGAGAGCAAAGTACGTATATCGTCTGTTGGCAGTCTCATGAAGCCGAATGCCTTCAGGGAGGATCTCAATGAGCCTCTTTGGCCGAACAAAGGCGTTCTCCTCGGCAGTCGCTCGTATAATTTCATCATATTTTCGACAGAGATGATCATGCTCTAAGCATGTCTCAAGCCAGCGCTTAGCCTGGTTAAGACTGCCGCGAGATCCTGTTCCGCGGCTAAGTGTGTTTGTCGAGACGTAGTCTCTGGCATCTGTGACGAATCAGTAGAAGACAATGCGGAGAAGAATGTTCACCGACCATCGATGCCAATAAAAAGGAAGGTCTTCGAGTTCGGAAATTCGGGCGGCATTGGCCTGTCAGATTTAGTTGAGATTTTGAATTGTAGGAGATATGAACCAGGATGAGCTCGCAGCGGGAACAACTGTGCATGTAGGTACACTAAATCTTTGTGCTGGTAGAAGCCGTCCCACTCTGAATGAAAGAAGCGTGTCCAGAGTCCAAGCATTTTCTCATCGTCCTTGTCTGTGCCTGGGAGCCAGTCATACAGTTCTTTACACATCCAGCAGCTCGAAGCTGATACTTTGAGGACACGTGCTCTTCGCTCTAGCAGATTCGGCAGTTCCATCGTCCAGGCCATGTCGAATAGAGTCGAACAGTCATCACACAACGTGCTCTGGCTCAGTTCTTCAATGGGCACATAACTCATATTTTCGGACATGATGACTTTCTCAGAGGATTTAACACCTTCGAAGACGATGATTGATATGAGGTACTCGGGATGTTTCGCAAGGACATGGCAGCATCCCGAGTGATAGTATCGAGCGACGACGCTGCCGTGTTTGAAGATGTAGTGCATATGATTGCTTGCTCATAAGGTCGGAAACGTGCCGTCGTGGGCACTAAACGATGTATTCGTTGTCGCTGAGAGCTGGGTAGTGAGTTTGATGGACTGTCATCGAGGCTCGCGTAGCAAAATCGTACTTCAAGAGGTTCACATGCTGATTACCCAAGACGCATATGAGAATGCTCGCTTCGAGACAGGAAAGAAGAAAGTTATATATGTAGTGGCAAGGCTGAAGAGTGAGCGCATGTTGTCGACATGGCGTTCCGAAGTTCAGGCATCAGGCACGAATGCATGCATGCCTGACAGCGATTAGTCATCCATCTTGCTTCCGAAAGGTTGCGACTCGCCGACTCTGCGATCAACATTTCTGGCAGACTCTTTCTCCACACAGCAATATGGCCGATATCGATGTCGCGGCGCCCGCTGCGGCATTCGAAGACACCACTCAGCCCGCGACTGAGACTGCGCTCACCAAGACGAACGGCGACGGCGCCGTGCAAAAAGTGAAAAAGACCAAGATCATCAAGCGCAAGCGACGACCAGCACGACCGCAGCAAGATCCCTCCACCTTCAAGACTGAGCCCCCGCCGCAGACCGGCACCATCTTCAATATATGGTATAACAAATGGTCTGGCGGCGACCGCGAAGATGCCTTCTCCTCGAAACACCAAGCCAAGGGCCGTTGCAATGTCGCACTGGACAGTGGCTACACCAAAGCCGACAAAGTGCCTGGAAGCTATTTCTGCCTCTTCTTTGCGCGAGGTCTCTGTCCAAAGGGTCAGGACTGCGAATATCTACACCGATTGCCAAACAGCAGGATAGGCAAGGAAGGAGGACTCGGCGACATTTTTCCTTCCAATGTGGACTGCTTCGGGCGCGACAAATTTAGCGATTACAGAGACGATATGGGTGGGGTGGGATCTTTTATGCGCGTGAACAGGACGCTCTACGTGGGAAGGATTCATGTGACGGATGACATCGAAGAAGTTGTTGCCAGACATTTCCAGGAATGGGGACAAATCGAGCGGATACGAGTGCTACCCAGCCGAGGTGTGGCTTTTGTCACATACGTGCACCTGGCCAACAGTGAGTTCGCGAAAGAGGCCATGGCGCACCAGAGCCTGGACCATGACGAGACGCTGAACGTGAGGTGGGCGACTGTGGATCCGAACCCGGTGGCGCAGAAGAGAGAAGTGAGGAAGATCGAGGAGCAAGCCGCGGAAGCCATCAGGAGAGCTCTGCCGGCGAGCTATGTGGCGGAATTGGAGGGTAGAAAATGGGAAGGTGCAGATCCAGAAGAGGAGAGGAAGCGACGAAAGATTGACGGAAGCTTTGGCCTAAAAGGATATGATGCTCCAGATCACGTCTGGTACGCATCAGAGAAGGCGAGAATCGAGGCTGGCGCGCAACAAGGACAGCTTGAAGGCGCGCAAGAACGAATGCTGCTCGAGGAAGCACAGCAGGTGTCGGGAGACACAGAACCGAACAGTGACAATGATGAACCTCTGCAGATCAAAGGCAACGGTCAGCCTTCGACTGGCGGCATTCTCGGCTGTAACACACTGGCTGCACTTCAGGGCCTGAAGGCAGGCATTTCACATGGCACAGGAGACAGGAAAGCGCCAGATAAGCCAGCTGGACCTCTGGTCGATTATGGAAGCGATAGCGATGATGAGTAGGCTGATCCACACGCTCGGACCTACAGTCTTTCGTTCATGAACATGCCGATATCCTTCAGGCAGATATCTGTCTGCTCCGTCCCTCCGACTGGGAAGAACGAAAAGCCATGTGGCGCTCCCGGATATCTGGATCGTAAGCATTATTTCCAAATGTGATGGTTATGACAACAGCACTTACATCTTCAGTATTGAATCCGCTCCACTTGCCGCCCATTTTGCAGACATAAGTAGCGAGTCATCCAGTAACGGATCTAATGTGCCACAGGTGAACAGTGCCGGTGGCAGCTAAGTCAGATCAGTCCATTAGTTCTCCGTTCGCCCCTCTAATGGATAAAACCGACCTTTAAACCCATCAGATCCTTCCAGAAAGGACTAATCTTGGGGTCCCTCCTATCCTTTTCCGTAGTATTCGGCAGATACGCTTCGATGTATCTAACCACAATCAGCCAAACCGCCAACTCCGCAAACGGGGAAAGGGAAGACTCATGAATTTATCCATAATATCCTTCGTCAAAACCAACTCCATATCAAACGCATGACAAGCCGGCAAGAAGGTACTCAACTCATACGCTCCAAAGTTCAACACCAAACCTTTGAATGCGAAGTTCGGTCTCGTTTCCAACAACGAGAAGCAAGTCACAACCGAAAGATGTCCTCCAGCCGAATCCCCACCCTAAAAAAGCGCCTCAGCCACTCAATCTCCCTATGATCAGTCAAGTCCAAGTCACTCACCATAAACTTCAACGGTGCCCCAAACTCCTCCTCCCCCCGATCAACCAACCACTCCCCCACATCAACACAATCCTCATTCCCCTTCGGAAACGGACATTCCGGCGCCAATCTATACCCGACACTCACAATCGTCAAATTCGCCTCCTCGCTATAACGTTTCAACATCAGATCCTGATAGTGTTCGGATTGCAAAACCCAGCCGCCGCCATGGATATGGTAGAAAATCCCTGAAGCTGGCGATTTCGGGGCTTGGAAGATGCGGATGGGGATGGAACGGTCTGGGTCTCGCGAGGGCGCGGTGCTGTTTATGCCGTCCGAGAGCACTTGGGGGGCTGGGAAGGGGGTTTTTCCTTCCCAGCGCATGCGACGGTGGGTTTCTGCTCCGACCTGGGGGGGGGGGGGGGGGGGGGGGGGGGGGGGGGTTAATTAGGATGGGGGGTTGAAGAGATGGGGTGTGGGTGGGAATTATACATACTTCGTACCATTTTGGGCCTTTCTTTTGGACTTCGATTAATTGGTCGTTGTACTTTTTGGTTTGGTCTGAGATTTGGGAGGGGTCGAATTTTTTGTGGTCGAGGTTGAGGTCTGAGGTTAGAGGCATCTTTGCTGTTTTTTTTTTTGGTTAGTGACAGTATTGTGAGGATGTTGGATGGTGAATTGTGTTGATTTTGGGACGGCTGTCATGGGTACTGTGTGGCCGAAGCTGATGTCTTGGCCGTCGGCGACTGCTTGGGGAAGGTGGAGGTGCGGGGGGCTGGATCATTGTGGAGTAGTGAGGTGGAGTCCGAGGTCGGACGGATAGAAGGTAAATTCGACCTCACATTGAGGTGATCAAGTATGTATGCTCGGAATCTCGTATTCCATGCTCATTAGGTATGCGCCATCGCTAATATGCCCAATTATTCTGTGCTCTCCTATTCTCGCTCCTGACCGGCACTCTTTTGTGTCCCCTCTGAATCAAACACCATGATACACCTTCATCGGCAAGGTAGTCTCCGTCTCGCTTGCCTGTCTGATCTCCTTTCTCACCAAGACGTCTGCTTCGCCACGACTGAATGAGCGAATGTGAGAAGTCATCGTCGGGGACTCTGGTTCTGCCGTGACGTTCGACTGGATTCTTGCTTCGCGATTTCCCGAGACTTGTGTGAGAATAAAGTGATCATCACTGGCCGAAGGCTGCTTGGAGGGCGATGGCTTGCGAAAGTATGATGGCAGGTACTTCCAGCCCTTGCTGTCGTTAGTACTCTGCTGGTTCATCGGTAGTGTGGTTTGCCGAGACTCTCTGTGGCCTTCACGAATGGTCTCCAGGAAAGTAGCTTTTCTCGGACTGTATTCTGAGTCCGTCGTGCTTGTAGACAAGACTGAGCCCTTGTTGAAAGTTGGTGACGTGGATGCACTGCTTCGATTGCTAAACAGCATTTTGGCCTTGCTGCCCATGCTTGTCACGCTTGCGACGATCGAGCTTTTGCGATCAGGGTGTAGGGAAGGGAAGATGCGACCAAGACCAATAGCAAGAAGTCCATCACGATACATCTTGACAGCATCTCGACCAAAGCCAAAAAGGAGGAAGATGAGGATACCACCAGCCATCCAGATGTAGCGATCAAAGATGATCGTGCCGTTGGCGGGCATCTTGACGGCTGTGTTCCAATCCCATAAGGTTGGGTTGTGCACATCGTCCCAGCTGTAAGATGTGACACCGGCGCCGATGTTGAGAACAAGGAGCCAGATTTGAATTGGCAAATTACCGAGAATGCTGAGTATGCAGAGGGCGTAGAGGCGAAAGAAGCGCGATTTGGTGGTTTGCGCATTGCGCAGGACGGAGTTGAAGTTCATTCGGTACCGGAGCAGACGGACCAGGATGAGGACTGCTCTCGAGTCAGTCTGGGGTCAGGAAAGAAGGTAAATTGAGAGACTTACTGCTCAGGTAAACACAAAACAAAGTCCAAAGGAGTGGAGGGAGAAGCATGAGCACTACTCTCAGCCAGCTCAGATCACCTGGTACCACGCAGCCAGAGATTCCATAAATCCAGTACCGAAATGGCTGTACAATGTACAACGTGATCATCTGAATGGAAGGGATGCCAAGACAGCAGACCAAGTCGATAGCGTAGGAACGTCGACGCTGGGCTTTGGTCTGACTCCAGGTCGCTCGATCTGTGTCCAAAGCTCTCGCAAGTGCGCGGAGGATGCAGCTGATGGCTGCAAGGTATAGGCTTTGGAGCATGATCTGAATTCTGATCTCAAGGTCGCAGAGGCCAACGCCGCTGTACCACACCTCAACGTTGTCGTTTGACCAGATGACGGCGTTGAGAAAGTTCTGGAAATTGGCGTAAATGGTGGCCGCGACGAGAACCGTTGCACCGACGTTGCGATTGCTGGCGTGCCATGAGAGCGAGGGGCAGATGATGATTGCAATGAGTAGAGAGAAGGTCGCAAAAACGATGGCTGTCGATTCTGTAGCCGCCGACTTGCTGGGATCCGGCGTCTGCCAGACGATAGACTTCATGTTCTGCGCTGGAGGTTGTTTGTGAGTGCTAGAGTCCCACGTTGGCGAGGATACCGGCTATATCTGTGAGACGAGTTCCTTCGTTCTGTGCTTCGGGGTTCGAATGGACGCTGCCGAGTTCGACGGGTGGTGGCTCGTCGTCAAGCCCAAGGGATTCGTGTCGAATGTGTAGGAGGGCAATGACAGCAAGAACGACGAATGCAAGAATGCAACTGAAGAAGGAGGCTCGTCGAAGTTTTCTGATGGCACCTCCAAGAGTGCCGCGGAAGCTCAATAGTATGAATACGACTATAGCGGCCTCAATCAGGATGAGGCTCAATAAGACCAGGTCTTCAATAGGCAGTGAAGTGAACATGCCGGAGGAGCCAAGCTGGGATGCTCAGCCCGGCATGTGAGGGTGAGTGGGCTTGCAGAAAGACGTCGGTCGCCAAGGTCCTGTGCAGATTGGCCATGACTGTCGCCGCATGAAGTGTAGCCGGACAGGCGTGGTATTCTTTGAAGCCATGTGTCTTGGCGTGAAATTCGGTGGCTGGGCCGAAAGCGGTGCTCAATAGCTTTGTCAATAGCCGAGTGAGACGCTTATTGTCGGCAACCAGCGTGTCAGCATGAGGTCGACCGATGCCATTGCCCTCCATTCTTGATCGCTCGGCGGGAGTGTGTCAGGACTCAGGAGCAGACAGCCACGGCCTGGGGTTGCCCAGCATTGGCGACGAGTGTTATTCAATATTTGACGACCCCCTCTGATTAATGCCACAGACGGGAAGCTCGCTCTGCTTTCTCAAAACACCACCCATTCCATGTGCATGTGATGCCATCTCGCGCGCCTCTGAGCCTGCGTGCAGCGCGTGTGCTACACTCAGAGCCGTATGTATGTCCATCGTGCCTCATAAGTCGCCACGCGAGCTTCCCGCGCAAAGATGCCATCACGACAGCGACACAGAGCAACAGGAGCTTCTACTCCATTGAACCAGCAAGAAGAGCTCGAGCACCGCGGCTGTCACAAAGGCGATCTGTCTCGACCGGCTCTCTGGCTTCGACTACAGCCATCAATGCTCCGACGAATACGCCAAGTGCCCTGCGAGAACTCTACCAGCAGCTTTGGCTACTGCGGGACAAAGCATCAAGCTATGTGGACCTCTCGCGTCTACAGCTTGCCATTCGAAGTTTAGAGTCTGACGATCCTGTCATCCGTGTAGCCTTCCTGGGTTTAGGATCATTAGGCGCAAAGGCAGCTCGAAAGTTGGCACGAGTGCTTCTAGCAGACGCGTTGAGCGACGAGGAGGCGTGGGAGAAAGAGCTTGTGGAAGTAGAGGATGAGCGGAGTGTGCTCATTAAGTATGGCGAGACACTGCAAGATACTGGAGTGCAGTCCACAAGCAATCCCCTTGTGAGAGAGCTGCTCATACCTAGTCCTATGCTCAAGAGGTGGAATGTCGAGATTCTCGTCACCGGCATGAATACCAGTGGACTGTCTGGAAGCGGTGACAGTGTCAGGGAGCTTGAACATAGCATGATCGTGCCAGCCTTGACTATCCCGAACGCAGGAAGAGTTGGGTTCGTGAGATATCCTGTCCACAGAGCGGTCGTGGTCGCAGAAGGCGTGACTGGAGCTGTGCATTTCGGCAGACTGCCAGCGTCATTGACAAATGGCACACAAATGTCGGCTGCGCTCAGTCTGCCTCTGCGGCAGGATTGGCCTCCGCAGACTGAGGTCGACGCGCATGAGGTCGATGTTGCACTTGCGGAACATGCCTTGGCACTATTTCGGACCAACAAAGCCAACGGTGCCATCTTCAGCTCGGAATGGCAGACATCCAGGGTTGGTAATGTTGGTAGCTGGATCGCTGCCTCGGGAAGAACGGATGGCCCAGACCTTTTGAAGCCTGCGGTTAAAGACCTGTTAACATCGATTCTGGGTCGCGCTGAGCTCTCTATCACGAATGCTTCTTCTGCTGCGGAAGCATCATCTACCAGTCTCACTGTTCCCGATGCAAAACGACAGACACTTCTTTCGGCAATTTCATCGTGGTCGGAAGAAGCGCATCGCGACTTGCAGATGAATCTCTCGGCAGCATTGCTGTCACCCACGTGGCGGCGTACAACATGGTGGCGTCTTTTCTACCGTATCGACGAAGTCTCTATTTCTGCCTCCGACGTTCTGCGGCGCGGCTGGCTTGCTGAAGCCGAGCAAAACCTTGCTTTTCTATCAGGGCGCGTACTAGAAGCTGGTCTTGCCAGTGTCGAAGAACTGAAGGGAGCAGCTACAGCAGCAGAAGTCGCGAAAGGCAGTGTCAAGGGTCTATTGGATGAGGACACTTTGGAGAAGGTCGAAGAGTGGAAGGCTAGACAAGACACAGACGCGCCATCGCAGAAGATTGAAACTGTGGCAGAGCTGCTGCAGGTCCCGCCATTGCTCAGCAAGATCAAGGAAAACACTGGATTGAACGCTTTGTTCGACCCACCCTGGCCGCAGACAATCCAATTTGCAAGACAGCAGATGTTGCACCAGCTCGTGCCGGCAATGCATCGGGAAGCACAAAAGCTGATGTTGGCAAGTTTGAGCACCATCGGGGGTACCGGCGCTCTTGGCGCATGGCTGTGGGTCGCAAGTGGAGGTGTAGCACTGTATGAAGGTGGAGCAATCGCAGCACTGGGCTTAGTATGGGCACTCAGAAGACTGCAGAAGAAGTGGACCAAGGAAAGAGATGACTTTGTGGAGACAGCGCGTGAAGACGCTCGACGTGTGCTAAGAGACGTCGAGAGTAGGCTAGGGGCTCTGGTCCGCGAAGGTGGCCGGGTCGTGGTTCGTGAAGAGGATAAGAAGGAGTGGCAAGAAGCCGGTCAGGCCGTGCAAGATGTACGGAAGGCTCTTGACGAGGTGGCAAGCCGATGATGACGGCTTGCTCAGCACGCCACCGTGAAGCCCATGTATTCACAAACGTGCCATAGCGCTCGGTCTACCTCTGCTCGCTTGCTTCCTTGATATGCTGACCTACTGTCATACTAAACCAGCAAACACAAGCAGCACAATTCCGATGGCGGGCCGATACACATACGGGGAGCAGATGGCACAACCTTCACCACCTCCAGCTAGCAGAGTCCGACAAAGACCGGCTTCCATTCCTCTTGCAGACTGGGAGCAGATTCTCATGGTCCAACAGGCCATAGAGTACTTCGAAACACGATTTGAGGAGTTCATGCGCAATCAAAGCCGATTGATGTCCGAGGTCCGTTCACAGCTCGAGACACTCAAGTCAACGACGGGAAAGCTTGGAACCAAAATGAAACGCCTGGAAGCATATGCAAAATCCCTAGATTTGCACGATCTGGCAGAAAAGATTGATGCAATGCAGCTCGAGGGGATGGCACTGGGGCGAGTTGAGGCTAGGATAGCGAAGCTGGAAGCAACGCTTGAAGAAATGGAGACTTTCGCAGAGCGCTTGGTTCTTGTTGAGAATGCCATCATCGAGCTACGGAATTCCTTGGAAAACACTACCAGTCCGCTTTCTGATTCCCGCGATACGACTGCGACTGGTGGCAGGACGGGACTGAAAGCTTTCTTTTACGCATTGGATCAGTTCGGCGAGAACTTGCATTGGTTCGATGCTTACGAAGACGACAACAAATCAACCGACTGATGTTCGTGACATCTTTTACACAGCCAGTGCTTTCGCCATCCATGATGCTCCTCAGCTCTCGCGACTAGATCGACCGCGCTCAAGCTCTTCGACACGAGCGTGCTCGTCCCGGAGAGCAGCACACAATTGCTCAACCAAATCCTCCCAGCACTGCATCCTTTGCTCCAACCTGTCAACCCTCTCCACTTCATCCTCTGGTGGCTCGTCCATCGCTTCGATCAGCACTTTTCCTACAGCTAGAATCAGTTCCACCCACCATTCTTGATGCTCCTCTGGCCTGTCAAGCTTCACTTCAAGAGCTCTGAGCCGGGTTGACAAAGCAGTCAGCTGGGATTCTAATTGGGAGCTCTGCGCGGCGGAGAATTCTTCGAAGACGCGAATCGAGCGTTCAAGTCGCTCCATTTGTTGAAGCAGGATATGAGATGGGGGTTTGTAGGTAGCGACCGGGGTGTTCTCAAGCAGAGGGAGGGGATGCGTGAAGCTAGGAAGCGGGTCATGAGGCGGAGTCTTGTGGGTTGACGATGATGCTTCTTCTGGCGTTTGATCTGAGCTCGCTTCTTCAAGGAACGGCCTGACAATGTCAGGGAACCTTGAGTTGCGTTCGGCTTCACTGCCTTGCTCCATCTGGTTGGAATGTGGTGAAGTTGGCCTGGTTTGTTCCTCTGTGGGCATGGTGAGTGATGATACTGCCGCAGGGCACAAATGTATCTTGCTAATGAGAGAGATTTCAGTGTTCTTATACTCGGGTTCAGAATGCATCTATTGCTTGCTTGCTTACTCCAATCTCAATCACGATAATTTGAAGAAAACAAACAAGATGACGGGCACCTCTTGAAAACGATCTATGAAGCGGAACGTCGCGTCATGTCCATCAAAGACTAGCTACTGTTCCCACGCTGCCAGCCGTCACTGGTGCCACGGTGCATTGATGTGTCCATGCCCGTGAGTATGCCCCATCTTCCGCTTGCGATCGTGCAATTGCTGACTCCTCTTTCGCTTTCTCCGCATGATCTGGCCATTTGTGCATCGAGTTCCAGGCGCAACAGCTTGCGGCAAAGCGCACTTGTCAACATCGCAAATTCCAAAATGCGTGGCATCCACACAGACCAAGTCTCCGGGCGTCGGACAAGACACCTCACCCTCAGGACATCCACCACTACTGCCTGCAGGCGGCGTATATGCGGGTGCCTGTGTGGTCGGAGCTGGCGTTGGGGCTGGCTGAGCCGCTGCCTGACTTGTCGGTGATGGCGCAGCACTCCCACCACCACCACCACCTCCTCCTCCTCCTCCTCCACCTCCTCCACCACCACCACCACTCCCAGTCCCAGTATCAGCATCTCCCGGCGAGCATCCTTGTCCAGTCGGCACAGCCAACGGATACGGACCTCCTTCAGTCCTAGTCGTAACATATTTCCCCGGAGCCGGAAACTTAACATTGACATTCTCCGTCGTAGGACACTGATCCACACTTGCCAAATTCGCAACAAACATGGTCGGGAAGCTCTTCATTTCACTCCCATCTCCGCCCGAGAACTCGACATTGACGCAATTCATATACATCTCCCGATTCCCGACATTGTTAAACCAAGTCCACGCCAGAATCGCATGCCCATCCTTGACACCCTTCGGAATCGTAAACGGGAACTGATTGACGCAAGAAGAACTTTCATCGCCAGTCGTGCACTTCCGCGCCGTGGGAAGATTTCCCGACGCATCGGTCGGGCACCCGCCTTCGATGGAGTAGATGACTTTCCAGTTCGACGGGTCCTTGACTTTCGCTGCATCGGTTTCGTAGGTTATGGCCATTTGGCACGAGCCTCCGCCGTGGACTGCTGTATTGGCTCCGCCGCCGAGATTGAAGGCTAGAGTTTGCTTGGAGCCCGCTGGCATTTTCTGGCCGCCGCTGGGTGGTAGGGAGATGCCGTGGCAAGGGAAGTTTGAGCCGCTTGGGTCGAGTGGGTCTTTTGGCGCGGAACCGGGGATTGGGGAGGGAGAGGAGATGAACATGTGTGCGACGGAGGGTGTGGACAGGAGAGTTGCCGCGAGGGCGGCTTTGAAAGGTATGCTGAGCATCATCATGGTTGTGTGTGCTGTGTGCTGATTCGAATGCGTTTGGTGACACGCAGGGTTGAGGCGAGGTCGAAGGCTGTTTTATACGCCTGAAGCTCTATTCTATGGAGTGAACAGTCAGCGGTCGGTCTATTCAATAGAAATTCTCGATTTCGCGAGCATGTTCACTCGGTGAATGGAGTTTGACTAACATGCGGTAGTGGATTGAAACGAGACGCCTCGAACGACTGTCTGTGGTGACACCGTCTGGCGTCAGTTTCACACCTCGCTTATACCTCAGCTCAGCTCAGCGGTACTCAAGCTATCTGCAGCAAGGCTTCTGGATCAGGAGATGGAGTGCGCTGAGATCTTCTACCTCAATCGTTCTGGAACAACAAAGAAACAATGCCGAATCCGGTGCTACATGGACCCGAGAACTCTCTAGGTAAATCATGATTTTTCTTGCATTGACACACAGTAACGTGGACTAAGTTTTGGAAGAACTGCATCTTGCGTACAGTGTGCTTGCAGAAATGCTCTATGCAATGAGGAGGCTAATTTCAGTGGGGTCCTATAAGTCGTGCTCGTGCTGCTTGGCACAGCGTAACCATGTGTTCAGCCTTCCGGATGTGGTAACAAAGAGTCTTGGCGGTTCACGTGGTATTTTTGATGCCGCGCAGCACTTACGTAGGCAGGTTCTCTGGCCGAGGTCGCCAGCAACGAAGTATATCACCTTCAAAGGAGTGTTGAAGGCCAGGAACATAGTTTTCCCTACACCCGCAGCTTGAAACGATCTACCGCGCTGAAACAAACCCTCGACTTCCATTTACCCAAGCTACCAACCATCTAAGACCCTTTCGCAAGCACATTTTCTCCTGTAATTGCTGCTTGATAATCTCAGCCCTTGCCCCCCAAACGCCTCTTTCCAAAGATTTCTGTTATAACATTCAATCCTCTGGGTGTCGGATGGGAGATCAACCACAATAACTTTCTTAGGCAAACAGACTTTCGATCGATTTCGCCAAAAGCGACATCTCTCAGCGTATTATTGATGAAGTGCGCTTGAACATCATACTCGCTTATCCAAGGCCTTCGCCTTGATTCCGATAAATATTGCAGGCGCCTGGGTGTCTTTTTTTCTCAAGCCGATATGCCCAACGAACGTACATGTAGCAAAGCTCGTTGTTGACGCGTGGCCGGGTCTCTTCATCCATTCCGCCAGAAATCTGCTCGTTCTCTGGGCAAAATTCGGCAAAGGTGTGAGGTAAAGAAGAGAGAGCATGGTCCTTATCATGCAAACTCGACGATCCTGTATCGGTGAGTGGGCGTATGTAGAGTAGTAGTAGATAGGATCACAAATAGTGTCAGAGATCCGAGAGAATAATATTTGAAACGAAGCTCAAAAAGTCCAGTCTCGCTTCCCCAAGAGGGAGCTAGCTCCACGGTATTCAATGCAAGTACGTGTCCATTCCATTCCGTTCCTATCCTAGCACCTCCTTCTCACCTCAAACGTTTCTACAAGAAGTGCATCAGAGTCAGAAAAGACACCACAAAGCTCCGCCCCAATCGCGACAGCAGGAATGTAGTCAAGTCATCCATCTCAGAGATCCATGAGTCTAAAACCACTTCCCCAAAAATGCAAACGCTTCGTGTGTTTTGAATTACATCCAACCAAGCCATTTCCACTCCGGTCATATCTTACTCTGACCTTTCATTGTCAGGGTCAGTGCCCGCAATGGTGGTGGGCGCGGCGACGAGTCCTATCTGTAATCGCCCATCCCGTCATCGCTCAGATCCTGGTCAACAGGATGCTGTGAGACTCCCAGTCCCACCGGGTGGCCATTACCATTCCCACTCATTCCGAACCCGTTCGTGTGGTGCCCGTTCGGTACAGGCCACTGGCCTTCGTGCATATCCAGTCCGTCGTCCTCTCCGCCGCCTTTGATCATGTTCGAGTCCAGCTGCTGTTGCATGACTGCTTGGGCTGAGACGATCTCTGCCAAGCGTTTCAGTCGAGGCGTTTGTAACCAGCTAGGCGTATAAGTCTCGAGTGCTGTTATTACGCGAGGCTCTGCAATCTCATATGGTCCCGAGTCTTCCATGTCCACTGCTTGTAGCAGCAAGACATCTGACTTCGGGTCGGTGACTCGTGACGCGACAGCCTTCATAATCTCGCCGTTGATGGGTTGTTCGTAGTCCGCGACAAGGTACTGGTTGAGAAGCTTCTGGATCTGGTTCGGCGATAGCCTGTGAAGATGGTTAGCGATGTCAAAGAGCGATAGAATGCCGAGGTACTCACATCCAGCAGATGTCCTGGATGATCTCAATGTCGTTCAGCGTAGCCTTCTTGAGTTGCAGTAATTTCGTTGCCTGCATCAAATGCTCAAGCTGTAGCGTTCCTTCAGGCATATCGTGACTCTTACACCACTCTTCAATTCGAGTGATGTTGTAATTAATCTGCAGTCCTCGTTTCCAAGAGAGGAAGTTTCTCCTCATCAGTAGGTCGTTGAATGCCGTCACGCCAACAAGTCGCAGGAGCTCAGTGACGGTTTGTGTGATGATGCTGTCCTCAAGGTAGAACGCCTTCATAGCCTTAAAGACGTTGTTCAGCAAACTGAGCAGGTTGTCCATGCTGTATGCTGGCGTGTTGGAGGATTGCAGCAACTTGCCCAAGAAGCGGTTGTTCTCGTTTGTGACGAAGCCTGGCAGAGACTGCGACTCAATAATGGCAGGCACGATCATCTTGTGAAGCTTCTTCTTCAGCACCTTCATCCAAGTGTGGTAGATGTTGAACTCCAAGCTTTCGAGGTCGTGCTTGACAATCTCCAGCAGTCGATCGTATTCGAAGTTGTCAGTCTTCTGTGCCTCGTACCAGTCCTCGGCAAGGAATACGAAGGAGAGCATCTCATGCACGTTCGAGAGCCAGAACGCGCCAGGGTTGATAGCCTCGTCACCGTCATGCTGCATCACTTCTTGCTGGATGGATTGCATGACATTTGCCAAGAATCGTTCTGACTCCTTGACAAACCCATTGTTCCACATCTCGCTGGTGACCAAGTTGATGAGGTATGCAGGGAAGAGCACTTCTTTGTCGGTCGGAGGTGGATTTGAGCCGGGTGCTGGGATCTTCAGGTTGCGAATGAGTCCGATGGAGACCTCGTCGTTGAGGCTGTCTTCATCAGCAAGCAAGTTCTCCAACTCCATCTCCACGTTCTCCAGCCCAGGATTGAACGTGGAACCAGATAGGTTTTGTGCATGCCCACCAGCCGTCGCACCAAACGCCATCGAGACTGGCCGCGGATTATAAGCGCCGCTGAACCTCTCCGTCTGGATCGGCTCCGGACCAGCGCTCCGCCTCTTCGGCTTCCTCGACGCAACAAGGTTGATGAGGCCGGAAGTCGCACCGCCAGTGGCGCCGTTTGTGAGCTCGCCGTTCGTGACCGGTGCCGCTCGTTTGGCCAGTTCGAGCTGGTCTTGGAGTTCTGCAAGCTGTTGTCGCAAGCTGACCTTTTCGGTCTCGCTGGCAGTCTTGGCAGTTCGTGCGGCATCCAATTCCTGCGTGGTGACCCGCAGACTCTCGCGAAGGTTCTTCTCCTCTTCTTGCAAGCGTCGCACGTTGCCAGTGCTCTCGTCGTAGCTGGCTTGCAGTCGAGCCATGTCGTTCTCCATTTGCTCCAACCTTGCTGCGGTGATACCGGCTTGGTTGGCTTCTCTCTGCAGATCGTTCGCTCTGGCCTCCAGCGCATTGTGACGCTGCCGAGAGCTGGTGATCTGGCTCTCGAGATTCTCGACCTGACCCTTGAGTGATTTGTTTTCTTTCCGAGACGCACCCAGCGCTTGTGTGAGCTCGACGACCTTGTTCTCAAGCTTGTACGAGATCTGCTTAAGATCTCTGGCTTCCTCCCTAAGCTTCTTGTACGTCTTGCGATCCTTCTTACCGCGCCACAAGCTTTGGACAAGCGTGACCTTTCTGCGATAGTCTCTCCAGCTCTTGAGCTGTCGGTAACTCCTGTAGCTACGCTGAATGATGCGCGCAGCATCAGAGTATTTCTTGTCTAAGATCATCTTTCGGCAAATCCACCCCTTGGCCGCCGCTTCAAAGCGGATGAGATCGTTTCGGAATTGTACGTAGTTCTTCCGCTCCTTCTGGCCTCTCCAAACCCGCTGGATCGTGGTCGCGCTCCGTTCTCGTCGTGCGACCTCGGTTTTTCTCCGCGCCATGACTGCTCGTGCTCGGGCCTGAAATGCTTTGATGCTGTCGAGCGCTTCAAGATAGCGGCGGCGGTAGTATTTGGCGCGTAGATTCTTCTGTATCATGATCGCCGCGTCGCTCAGTCTGTTTGTTCGGAGATTCTCCAAGAATGCAAGCATACCAGCACGGAAGAAGATCTTAGTTAAACCAAGCTGGTACTTGTCAGTCCTGTCACTCTTACTTTCGCCAAGAGCTTTCTTCAAGATGGCATTTGCCATGTCTCGAATCTCTGTCGTCCATTCGGAGGAGCGGATGAGCATGTAATATCTGAGCGCGAACTCTTCGTAGGTCCACCGAGTGGGATATCCAGCACAGCTGATTCGGACTGTTTCCAGAACACCGCAGGCACGCAGCTGGCTCAACACCATCGGTCCTTCGAACTTCCAAGCTTCCTTGGCTTCATTAGGCTTGATACATCGGATGTAGTGGACTTCGGTCGAATTGATGGTGTCCATGAGCTGAATCAAAGAGCTCTTGAAGATACCACCAAGTGTCGGCTTTCTCGCTGCAGCTGCTCCCTTTCGAGCACCCGGGGTTCCATTGGCCTTGGGATTTGCTGCTGCATTGTCACGATCGCGGACGGCAGTGCTGGACTCCAAGACCTCGGTCAAAAAGTCGTTGGAGCTATTTCGTAGCACTTCGAGATGCTCATCGGGCACAGTATCTCGGTTCTTCTCAATGAAGCCATCGCTCTCGTAGGTCACGTCTATTGCATAATGGCAAACGGTGAAGGAACTCTTGCCAAACCGTGGCTTCTTGTAGAATGCGTGCTTGTCGTTGGAAAAGTTGTGATGCAGCTTGGTCACGAACGACTCGTCAGAGCCCATGGGCAGTCTGCTCTCTTCGTCGAGCAGGGAGAGGATACCGAGCTTGCCTTCGATGAGGTCGATGCAAGGCTGGTTGTCGCTGAAGTCAATGAACTTCCAGTCGATCTGTTCGCGCAGATACTCCTCCTGCTCCAGCTTGAACACATGCTGGTTGAATTCCTGTTGCAGCTTCTCGTTGGCATAATTGATACAGAATTGCTCGAAGCTGTTCTTGGCGAAGTGCTCGAAACCGTAAATATCGAGCACACCAATGAATGAATGCATCTGCTCGAGAATTTCCTGCGGTGCCAAGAAGGTGTTCATGGTCTCCACAAGCCAGTCAAAGAGGGACGAGTAGATGTACTTGGCGACCGAGTCTCGCACAACGGTAGCCTGTTGCTGTGTCAAGTTGGACATGATCTTCTCGCCTCTTGTCACCAATTGCTTCTTGACAGTCCATTTCGAAAACTCGTTGGCGTCGATGCCGAGCAGAGCGCAAGCCTTTGTCAGAGATGGCTCCGAAGCTGGGAGTTGTGATTCTGTCCGGGATGCGGTGATGTTGGTGTTGCCGAGATGAAGCAGTGCAGCCAAAATTCTCCAGATATTGCTCTGCACATCCTCGGGCACACCGAGTCTTGTGAGGGAACATCGAGTGTCCTTGAAGTCCTTCGCATCGTCCACGCCATCAATCTGAGGAGCACCACCCTGATTAAGGTAGTCGAAGTGCTCGACGGGTATCAGGCCCAACTGTTCTCGCTCTTGATCTGTTGCGCCCGCTACAAGCTGGTAGAAGATGTGGTAATTTCGCTCCTTAAGCGGCTGAAACACCAGCCTCGACCGCTCGAGGAGGTACGTTCGTATCCGCGCACCGATGATGTCTGTTTGCTTGTCGAAGATGATCTCGATGTACTTTCCGAAACGGGACGAGTTGTCGTTTCGGGTGGTCTTGGCGTTACCGAAAGCTTCCATGATGGGATTGGTAGCAAGAATGCGTTCTTCGGTCTCGCTCATGGCATCGCTTCGGTCTCTTCTGCGGACACCAGGCTGATCGGGAGGCTCTCGCGTGGCAAAGTAACGCATAATATACTTGGCGCTGACCGTCTTGCCTGCTCCTGACTCTCCCGACACGACGATGGTCTGGTTCTTGTCGTTCCGCAGCATGTCGGCAAAGGACTCTTCGGCGATGGCGAACAAATGCGGTGCTTGCGAGGCTCGATGCTTGCCTGCGTAGACGTGCACCATACCGGGGACGTACAGCGAGTCGACGCGCGCAAAGGGGTTGGTAGCGATCAGGACAATGCCCGAGTATGTGTAGATCTCCTTTTGGGCATAGCGCAGCTTGATGGCCTGCAGCACGGCCGGCTCGTTGAGATGTGAGAGGCTCGTCAGGTCGTCGCTGGCCTCGAGCATGGCGGGATTTCGAAGGGGCGGCAAGGTGGAGCTCATGGCATCTTTCGACAGCTCGTGCAGCGTCGTCTCGATGGTCTTCTCGTCGCCATTTTCGAGGGTGAAGACCAGCGTTACCCTGTCGCCGTCGACCTTCTTCTTGGTGACCTATGGATGGGATTGTCAGAGGACGCGTGCACTGAAGCCTGCCTGCCGCCGGCCATACCTCTGAAGACACCCAACCCTCGTTCTGGTCTGGCTGCCAGGCCAGCACGCCGGTGTCGTAGTACGACATGGCGGGCAGATATTACTGTAGCCTTGTTCTGTGCTCTGAGTGCTGAGTGCTGTATGCTGTGTGCTGTTGTCGCTGCTTCCCACTGCTCTCCTCGCCGTCGCCCATGCACACCTCCTTCGGCGCACGCGCACTGGTCGTGGCCGTGGCCGTGGCCGTGGGTGTTCCGATGTGCTCTCACTCCCTGCTGCCCCGAAACGCCGTCGCTAACTTAAGCACAGGAACCAGAACCAGCACAAGCTCAAGCACAAGCACGTGTGCGGGTCAAAGGAATGTGCAGCGCCGTCGACCACGCACGGTGGGTGGGCTGGGCTGGGCTGGGCGTGATGCAGAGGGTCAAGAGCGATTGTTCGGGGTGGGCGAAGGGTGGTGGTGGTAGAGTGCTAAGACTGGATTGTCGTCTTGTCCTGTCCCCTTCTCAAGCAAGGGTGCATGCAGCATGCGCCTGCGCCTTTGCCGCTAGCGCGCGAACAGGCAAGGCGCCCGAGGTTTCAGAATCCAGCGATGCGGCTTGCGGGCTTCACAGCTTCAAAACACAATCTTCTATTTGTTGCGTCACGCGTGCACATGACTTGTTGGACGGTGTTTGCACGAGCTGTATGAGTAGCACTATTCGACACACCTCGCCGTCACAACCACCGCTCCCACCCCCTTCTGCCTGAGTATCGTAAGCACATGCGCGGCAGCAGACACGCTTCCACACGTGCTCGTCGATCTCGCCGCGCCCCTGAAACGTGCGTGCCCTCTCTGCCACACCAGAACAATCACCCCAACCGTGCCAGCTTACACAAGTTACATTCGACGTCGGACACGCCGGCAGCAGGCCATTATTCGCAATGGCGACAAAAGCTACCGCGCGACTTCAACACCTGACCTGTGTCTCTCCGCCATCCGATGCGGCAACCCCAGCTTGATTCATTGATCGAGATGCTTGAACCGCGCCGGAAAGCTTCTGGAAACTTTGGTGCGCGACGAGACGAGAAACCCTTTCGAGAACAACTCACTTCTGATTAGCACCGCAAGACGAAAGGCAATCAGAACATTCCGAAACGCAGCATGGTCGTGGTCCTGGCCAGCAAATATAGTGCTGACGACCATAAGCATCCGGCTGGCCATTTCTCTCCACGGATTGGTCCATTTCGACGGTGCAGGTACCGACACCATTCGAAAGTCTGTTCGGAAATATATTAAAGAGACCTTGCTGGTTGGCGTATGATAGATGTGGAAAACGCACGAACAATCGGCTGCTTTCCAAGATATACCAATAAAGCCTCACTAGCAGCGACAATAAACTTTCCCTGAGAAGTAGACACCTGCCGAGAAGATTGAGGTTTTGCTGAGTGCGGTGCCGACGGAGGATTGCCACGAGGTTTGGGAGGAGATGTCGTCTGATGCGGTCCACTTTCCGCCGTTGGTGTTGATTGGGTCGGTGGAGTTGAAGACTGGGGAAGGGGAGGATTAGCGGCGCTGGTAATGGGATAGAGAATGGGATGTCGGACGTACGGTTTGCTTCGTTTGCGAGTTGAATGGCTATTAGGTTGCTGATGTTGGCGACTGCATTTTTGGCTGCCGAGATGGTGTTTTCGAGCTGGTTCAGGCGTCGATTTAGACCAAAGATCACGCTGCCCTTGTATTTGTCGGCGAAGGTAATGAATGATGGACCGTATCTGACCGAGACAGGTGCGTCCTTAGGATCAGCGACGTAGCAGTCTACGTCCTGTTGCAAGGAGGCATTGTATAACGCTCGATCTCTGCTCGATCAGGCGGTTCAAGATCTCGTCGAAATATCTTGTCGACGTACTGAGTCGTTCCTCCGATTCGCAACGGCGGCCATGTCCCGGTCAAATGTTGAAAGTTTTCCAAGCATTGTTCTGTCGATGGAACATGCATATAACCAGGAAAGGCGAAGGATTCGATGCTGTATGAGCCTTGTCAATATCTTCTTTTGTGGCAGGACCAATTCCTCCTATGACTCACGACACTCCAATCGGAGCCTTGGTCAGCTTGAGAGACGCATTTGGTGGCAGTGAGGATGGCACAGTATGGCTCACTGCTTGAGCATATCCGATTGCAAGGCCTAACAAAGCCGTTTGGCCGAGCATCGTGGGGACTGCGAATGTAGTGGAGATTGCCATCTTCCGGGGTGGCGTGGCGTGTATTCGGCTTCTGTTCACGATCCGGAATTGGCATCACATTGGCGATGCTTGGCGATGCTTAGCTCGATGTCTTCCGAATCCTCTCTACATACTCGCATGTCACTCGTACACTTGCCACTGCTCGCTGTCGGTGCAGGAGAAAGAGCAGTTCCAGTCTTCGTCTCATGTGGAGCCGGCGCGGATGCCTTCCGCCGGGATGTGGCGCAGCTCCCCCACAGATACCTCCGAGCGGAATACAGCAGGTCAAATTGTGAAGTTCACTGACTCCCTTCACCTAGAAGCGCAGCCAAGAGAAACATGCATACATGTCTCCGCCGATACGCGCTACAAGCTGTACGTCAATGGCAATAGACTTCTCAGCCAAGGAGCACGGCCGTGTCCGGATCAAGGCGACATACTCGGAAGGATATGGGAGAAGCTCCATCATATCCGTTCTTCCGAAGCAAAGCAGATCGAATGGACAGTTCTGGTGACATTGTAGGCCCATATGATACCGCACTTCTGGATGTTCACCCTGGCAGCAACACATGCTTCGAGCCTTTCTGGTTCAGAACTTTCAGGATCATTCGTCTTGATCTGGAGGCTTTAGACGGTGACATTGAGCTGAACGACATCGTAGCTGACCAGACCAACTACCCACTATCCATCAAAGGCTACTGGAACGATGCTTCCGATTCGCAAAATGACCAGATGCAAGAAGTATCCATGTGGACACTCCAGAACTGTATGTTCGATGGATACTCTGGCTGTCCATTTTATGAGCAGCTGCAATACTCGATGGATAGCCGAGCCGTGGGACTCTTCCATTATCTCATGTGTGGCGATGACCGCCTGATGCGGCAAGCAATCACGATATTCGCATCTTCAACCACATTTGAAGGGCTTCCTCAATCTCGCTTTCCGTCTCACGTCAATCAGCTCATTGCTGGATTTCCGCTGTACTGGGTTCTGGAAGTGTGCGACCATCACTTGTACTTCGGCGACATTCCATTTGCTCGCTCATTTCTTCCACGAATCGATGGCGTTTTTGAGTTCTTCTATCGCTATACCGATTCGCGAGGACTGATCAGTGGACTTCCAGCAGACGTGTGGCAATTCGTCGATTGGGTCACAACATGGCATGCAACGGATGAGCATCCAGACAAGGGAGTGCCGACTTCAGGGCGCAACACAAACTGTCACACATACTTTAGCCTACTGCTTGCATATGTATTGAAGCAAGCTGCGCAGTTCGTGCGAGATGTTGGCATGCCAGGATACGCAGACGAGTACGAAGCTCGAGCAGATGCTCTTAACAAGGCTGTGCACGAATGTTGCTACAATGGTCAATTCTTCACGGACTCTACGGCTGAAGTGGCCGATGATCTATCGTATTCCCAGCATTGTCAAGTCTGGGCGGTACTTTCTGGCGCAGCTCCTCCGGATGAACATATACGTCTGCTGAAAGAGAGCTTCAGCAACACATCATTCTCAAAGTGTTCGTACATGATGCGCTTCTACGCAATGAGAGCTTTTGCTCTTGCTGGTGATGCCGTGTATAACTCTTTCTGGCCTACAGCTTGGGACCCTTGGCGGAAGATGCTGGCGAACAATCTGACGACTTGGGAAGAAGACGATGTCAGGCAGAGGTCGGACTGCCACGCTTGGGGAAGTGTGCCGATATACGAGTACTGCACTGAGCTGGCGGGGGTGAAGCCAATGGGACTTGGTTGCTACAAGATACTCTTTTCGCCCCGGCTTCAGCTGACAGATCAGTTCGAGGCGAAAGTTGCTCTGGGAAGTGACAATGTGGCCTCTATCAGCTGGCGTAAGGACCCGTCTATTGCGACGCGTAAGGTGGTCACATTAGCCTTGACAAAAGTGGTCCAAGTCGCCAGCAGAATGCCTGGCAATGAAGTGATAGAGCACGGCTTGGTAGACACACTCGAGTTTGTCTATGAAGACACTGCTTAAGTCTTTGTACTCAGCACTTTGCCCGGCATTCTCGAGCCTCGCTCCACATCCCAGAAACCTACGTTCAGCTCCGCGAGTGAAGTCCTCGCTCCGAACCGGAGGCAGAAATGTCTGCTCGATGCCGCCCAAGAAGTTCGGGCGAATAGTATTGGGAGGCCGTGGTAGGATTCTGCCACAACGCAAACCCACAGGTTGGCAAAAGCGGTTTTTAATGCCACAGACCACAAGGCAGATCCGTCTGGGGCCCCAGCTTTGTGATACAAGTCTGCCTGCCTGCCTGCTAGCCTATTCTTAAGCTATAGGGAAGCACGCTTCGCATCAGAACACCTCAGACAACTTCTCCAAACAAACGTAATGTGTCGCCAAGCAGGACCAGACCTCCTCTGGCAGACAATCTCAACAGATTCAATTCGAATTCCAAGCCATCATGGCGAATTCTCGCCCACCCTCATTCACCCAAGGTGAACTTCCCAAAAGCGAACCAACCCATGTCTAAGAAGTCGCCCACGATGAACCAGGCCATCAGACGACAGCAGTAATGCGGACGAAAGAAGATGACCTCTCCTTCTGGCAAGTCTTCCTGCACACCATTGATGATCAATGGTTCTGCAAAATGGAGTGTGAAGACTGGCTTTTTGTAAGTATTAGTACCTATTGGCATGTTCGTTCCACCGCGCACTAACGATGACATTTCTCGGTTTCGCTGGGATTGGCGCCATGGCGGTCGTAATTTCCTGGTTCATAATGCCCGAGGTAGCAAGACGAACGCCTGCTGAGATCGATGAGATGTAAGTCGATAAGCGTCGACTGTTGACAGCATAGAGCGAGGACTGACGAGAAATTTCTAGGTTCGAGAAGAAAGTGCACTTGAGGAAGTTTCATAAGTATGTCATCGAGGTTGAAGTACATGCCAGTAATGTCACGGCCAAGGAGTAGCGGGCAGGGTGATCATGAACAACTTTTACGACTTCTCGTTGTACATCCCACCCATGTATGCCGTCTTTGATCCAGACCTTGCAGCCTTGCGCTCCGTGCAAGAGACCTTTCTGGAATTTACGGTCTGCGACGTAACGAGCCTAGCAAGCCATGAGATCCGGAAGTAGCCAAGATCATCACAAGCACAGAACGAGAAAGAGAGAGAGAGAGAGAGGAGACAATCCTTTGAGTATCATATCTCATTCATCTCCACAAGCGCGTCGCAAAACCATTATCCCGGCTTTCGCTCGCCTGGCATCGCATCCAACTCACCTCCGAGTCATTTCGATCATTCAAATCATCACCCAGCTTTCCTCCAACCCAGCCCATCCATCCATCCTCTCCCTCACTCCAAACTCAAAGCAACCCATCATCATCCTCCTGATCCTCCTCCACCATAGCTCTCATCTTCCTAAATCCCTCACCAACCTCCTCCCCAAACTCAATCTCCTTCCCATCAAGCAGAACCTCGCCAGCATCATTCTTCATCTTACCTTGAAAAGTCCTCTTCTTAGAAGAATTGACCTTGGGCGGTGACTCTCCAGCCTTGGCAGCAGGAGCAGCAACCCTACCCTTCTTCTTCTTCTTCGTAACTTTCTTCGCCATCTCGACACCACTGTCCTCCGCTCCGGCGAGCTTGAGTTTGGTCACGCGGTGGGTGATGGCTTTTGGGGTACATTCTGGGAGAAGATCAGTGTCACTACTGACTAAACGTGCCGAGAAGAATAGAAAGTGAGATGATTATTATTACCTGGACCCATGATTTTGGCCAAAGCGGCGTACTCAGCGCTAGAGATTTTGATGTCGCAGACTTGGAAGATGGCTGCGATAAGCTGGGAAAAAAAATGTGAGGATGATCCGAAACAGGGGATAAAAATTTGTATATACCTTTGCTTCGGCCTGTGGGGTCCAGTCCATAGGCATGGTGGGCGATAGGAGTGCTTGGTCGTTGTGTGTGTGTGTGTGTGTGTGTGTGTGTGTGTGTGTGTGTGTGTGTGTGTGAGAGAGAGAGAGAGAGAGAGACAGAGTGTGTGTGTGTGTGTGTGTGTGTGTGTGTGTGCTAGAAGGTTGATGAGAGAGATTGAAGGTGTTATGTCGAGGTAGAAGGAAGAGTGGCAGGAGAGATTGAAGACAAAAGAGCCATTGTGGCAGCCTATGTGAGGTTCATGTTGTTACACCGGTCTTGCAAGTGAGATCTTGGTGGCATTGTCATGTGAAAGTGAGATTCGCGAAAGTAAGCTTAAATTTATGTGAATGGCAAAGTTCACGTCCCTTGCTCCAGGGCTAAATTGTGTTACTTCACATTTGTGCCTTAACAGTTAGCGTCAAAGAAGTGCTAGCTTCTGGAAGGACGTATACTATCAGTTTATGTGTGCAGCAGGAGTCCATTTCGGAAGCGGATGCTCGCCAATATTGCTCCAGTTCTGCCAGCGGCTTGAAAGGTGTCAGTGGCCGCTGTATGAGCTCGAACGAGGAGTTCTTTTGCGAAAGCACACGAGGCACTCGGTGAGGTCTGCAGGCGGGAGAGGTCAAAGTTGCGAGACCTTTCACGGCCTTTCCTAACGCTGGCGAGTGTCTGATCGGAGAACCAGGGGCGTGCTTCCATTCGAAAGACATACCTCGTACTTTCGTTAAATGATACGAAGCAGCAAAGTGAGGGAGGTCAAGAGAGCACATCAACTCACTCTGAACAGGTGAACCCACAGCTACCTCATTGGCGTCATTAGTTGAAATAATGAGACGGGAGCAAGACATCATACATCGATCTCTCTTTCGTTCCTAATCGAGGGTTATCTCTCGACACATAAAGAATTCAAATGTATAGACGCGCTACCACCCTGGGCCCATGCTTCATCCCAACGCAAATGGGGTATCCAAAGACACAATAGTCATACAAAATCCTTGCTACCTCCGACTCCCAGGTGGAGGTTGTCCATAAGGCCCGTATGCATTCGAAGGTGTTGATCGTCGGAAAAGTGGCTGCTGCTCATCAGGTCTCGTCGCTGGATAAGATGGACGCTCCCTCTCTCGCAGAAAGGCCGCTGGCTCTGTTCTGAACTGCATCCGCCGTTCCTCCTCTTGCATTCGCTCTGCAACTTCGCGTGACGCTTGCTCTCGAAGGCCTGCTTCCCTAAAACCTGGTTCGCGCATGCTCGGTGCGCCAAATGGCTGTCTGCTTGCGAAAGGTGTGCCAAAGGACGCATGCATTGCACCGCGGGAGTCACGACCGTAGACCTGCTCTTGCCTCCGCAGATCCAACTCTCGCTGTTCCGCATGCCTAAGCCTTGCTTGCTCGTCGCGCTGCGCCATGTCACGTTGACGTTCTGCTGCAATAGCTGCCAGACGATCATCCTCCATTCGGTAGTGATGGTGACGCGCGGCAGCCTCGTCCTCTCGCCTCATGACTTCTTCTCGACTTAGCGATGAAGGCGCACCATACGAGAAATACCCTGGTCGTTCAGTGATGGAGCTATTATGAGAGTGATGTGCTCTATTTTGCGCTTGCGGTGGCGCTTGATGATACGAGACCGGCTGTTCAGATCTGCCATATGGGTTGGCACTCAAGCTTTGGACTGGAGGCTGGGTGCTAGGAGGTACGAATGCTGCGCGTTGTTGCTCCCGCTGTTGTTGTGCAGAAAGCGAGGGCGTCCTCGAATGACTGATCATATGAGGAGGCGGCGACTGGTTAGCACGTGATGGTGGATTGAGTGGCCCATATCCTCGTTGACTTCCAGGAAAGTTAAACAAAGGCCTTGCGCCATCTCGGAGATCCCTTGGATCTCTGTCGAGTGGTGGCTGAGCTGGAGGACTCGGCTGATTGCCGTGTCCGTACAAGTGAGCAGAGCGCCAGTCCTCCTTCGGCGGTTGCTGCGACAAAGACGCCACACCGCCAGATGATTCGTGCTTGAGAGCCGTTGGTTGCGCTGTTGGCGTAGAAGCTGTCTGCCCAAATGACGATCTGTGATAATTGGCTCCAGGAAGGGATGCATGGCCAAATGTCTCCCGCCTAGGTGTGGGCAAGTTTGCAGGGGGCTGTGAAGTAGGCGCAGTATTGAAGGGAGGCGCCGGCGATGCCACTCGTGTCGAACTTGCAGAGGGAAGACTGTCTCGTTTTGGTGCGGGCTTGGTCTCTTCCGGTTCATTGTTCAACAGATTCATCAAATTAGACTTCTTCGGTGCTTCTGGAGCGGGAGCGGGAGCGGGCGCGGGCGCGGGAGCAGGAGGTGCTTGCGCAGGTGGCTGGCTGTGACTATGTCCCGGGACATGTATCGGTGGCTGCTGGGCAGATAATGGCGCCACAACAGATCCTGGCCGAGATGCATCGGGCTTGGGCGGCGAGGGAACATAAGGTGGACGTCCAGCTCCTGCTAATGTTACCAGAGGCGAGGCGCCCAGACCTGCAGTCATGGGGTTATGCGGATTGATCAGTGGCCCACGGGAAAGGCCAGACGAAAGATAACCACCACGCGAAGGCGGACGCGAGTCGTCAAACAATGGCTTCCGTTCTGCTGCTGGCATCGCGAGTGGTTGATTGGCAGGCGAACCATGCGCGTGCGCCATTGATTGGTGTTGGCGAGAGCGCAATTGCTCCATGCGCGTTTGTTCCATACGCATTTGCTCATCGTGGCCGGCCAGTTGAGCCTGTTCAGCTTTCTGCATCCGAAGTGCTTTTTCTTGCTCCTGCCGCAGGCTGTTGATGTAGTCAGAATTGGCAAGATTTGAAAGTGTCCGGGCTGGCTGGGGCGGTGGAGGCTGATTACGCGATGCGGGAGGCACTGGTTCACGACCCACGCCCAATAGTGCACCCGCACCAAGTCCGGGACCAGATTCCGTGCGGTTGTCGGCAAGAAAGCTTGCACGAGAGCCAAGCGGATGCTGTACGGGAGGCCGGCTGTGCTGTGCAGCAGGGGGCATCGGAGGGGCAGGTGTAGCTGCAATGCGATGCGGACTTGGCACAACTCGAGGCGCTTGTGTCGGGGTACTCTGTGCAGAAGTGGGGAAGCGCTGGGGCTTCGACTGGAATTGGGGCGGGGAAACATGCTTGGGTGGTGGTGGTGGCGGTGCTGACGCTTGCAGCGCTGGACCAGAATCATCAACGTCCATGGCATCACCCTGCGGGGCAATCGCACGTGGAGTGGCGGTGGTGGTGCCGGTGCTGGTCTGTGGATTGTCGTACTTCCGCTTCACAATCGGAGTGGGTTGAGGTGGTGGCCCTGCGTCTTCTCCGCGCTGTTTGCGCTGATCCGCTGCTTCCGCCGCAACCTTGAGCTCCGCTCTTCCGCCGTCGACCTGACGTTGATAATGATTCTTAATCATAGTCGCCGTCTTCGTGCCCATGTGAGCAGCGATCGCAGCAAAATCGGTTCCAAAATGAGCAATAAACCCATGAAAGTCGGTTTGCTCCGGGACCGACCAGTAGCTTGATGCGCTCTGCTTAGCAGCGGGCGCCAGCTTCTGTCTCGCCGCATCGTCTCCAGCCAGGAGTTGAGGAAGCATCGCATCGGGCACATACATGCCCTGGTGCTCTGGCGCCATTGACTCGTGGTGGCTGCGATGAAGGCCTGCCAACAAGCCAGCCTCTTCCGCGGTTGGTCCTCGTGCAATATCGTCTTTGCTGTGTGCTGGCTTCTGATTTGGCGACCCCGAAGGCGCTGCCGCAAGAGCTGCCAGCTGTTGTTTGCCTTTACGACCAGCTTTGCCTTCGCCAGTCTTTCGTTGCTTTTTGGTAGGCTTTTCTTCGCCATTGGCATCTTGCTTTGATCCTGGTCCAGGCTTCTTGGCAGGCGACTGCGCCATCAACGCGTTCTTCGACTCGACTTCTTTCTCGCCGAAAGTGGTTGGTGCTGCAGCTCTCTTCGGTCTTCCACTGCCGGAATCGTTGGCTGGTATCAGTTCTTCGGCTCTGTTGAGATCTGCCATCGCTGACCCCCGAACAGCGCGAGAAGCTTTGGCCCTGCCTCCTCTACCGCCACCACGACCCTTGTATCGCTTGGTCCTGCTGTCTCTGAATCTACCATCCCATTTATTTGCATAGTAATGGTGAATGCAGTCCTTGTAAGTGCGGCCGGGCAGAAGCGATGCAATCTCGCCCCACTTCTTTGGCGTCTCCTTGAAAGCCGCAATGAACACATCCTGCTCCTTCTCCGTGAACGTGTCCTTCGGAGGCTTGTACGAGAACACTAGGGTGAGCTGGTCAGCGTCCCGTAATCTGTTCTCGTTGAACCATTTCCCGCGGGCGATAGCTTTTTCGGTCTCCAAGTCGGGCAGCTGGGCTTCCTTTTCCATGTCGGCCTGGATTTTCTTGGCTTCGCGGTCATTCTTCTCTTGCTCGATCCTTGCCATTTCTTCCGATTCCTTGAGAACCTGTGCCATTTGATACTCGCTGATGTTCAGCTTAGTTCTTCTTCCTTCGGCAATCGGGTTCACCGGCGCTGGAGTGGGCGCATCAACATCGAGTCCAGGCTCAAGCGACGCTTGTCGTTCCAGAAGTTCCTGCTTCTCTCTTTCCTTGTCAAGTTCCTCGCATTCGTCTCGCCACTGTTGGTAAGCCAATTCGAAAGCTTCCATCGCATCCTCCTCCGCGTCAAGGTCCAGCTGCTCCTCTTTTGCAATGATGTCAAGCATCTCCGTCTCGTATTCTTTCAAGCTCTGCAGCGTATCCCGAAATGCTTCGGATTCTTGCAAGGGAAGCGCGCCTTCTTTCACCAAGAATGGGAGTGCAACAGGCTCGGAACTGCGTCGAAGCACCCTACGAACATTTCCATGGATATCCTCTTCCTCTCGAATGGTCACGACATTTAGACTTTCACCCTGTGGTGTCAGAATCTCTGGGCCATCCTCGCTGCTCGATGAATGAGCCGCTACTGGAGCAGTTTGACGAGATGGTTCCAGCGGCGCATCGTCGAGGTCCATGTCATCCTTTCGTTGCTGGTTGTATTGCTCCAAGTCCTTCTCGGTGAGGCGTGCAAGCCTGGCCAGCGATTCGAGGGGCGACGTCGCTCGATATTCACGTAAACTTAGATCGACCATCTGCGATCTCAATTCTCGTTCTTTGCGTGCATGCTTAGCCTCCAACAAAGTAGCGTCTTCCTCTTCGTCCAGTTCATCATCTTCGCTACTGCTGTCAATGTCGTCCGCAGGACGCTCTAATGCACCACCAAAGAAAGAGGCATGGGTAGCAGATTGGCTTTCGGCGGCAGTGGACTTTCGTTTGGCCAGATCGACATCCGGCTCCATATCGTCTTCGTTGCGGTCCTCAGTAGACGGTCTTGAAGTCTGTATTGAAGTGCGACGACTCTCGTGGTCTTCTGTCTTCACGGGAATGTCTTGCATCTTTGTGTCAGTTGAGGGAGATGCTCCGGTCTGAAGTGCTCTCTCCTTCTCCTCCCCATTGACATCTCTTTTCGCAGGAATGGTAGGACCAAGCTTTTCTCCATAGATTGGGGCTCCTGGTCTTGTCCATGTGTTCCACTGCCTAGCTCCAGAAGCTCCGAATGACGACATACCAGGACCGCGTTGCGGTAATCGATTTGGAGCAGTCTGTAATCTGTCGATCGCTCTCGGAGCGACTGGAGGAGCACGGGCACTTTTGGGTGCTGTTGGAATGCTTGACGTCGTAACTTTCGGTGACACACTGAATGACCGATTCCGAGGCCCAGAAGGTGCGGTTGGAGGAGGCGTTGACCCTCGTAGATGTCCACTGGTATGCTGGAATGCGCCAGTATCAGAGCGTGGCGATGCGAAGTGCGGTCTTGGCGACAAGGAAGGTTGCACCGGAGGTAGGAACAATGCTTTCGGGCCAGTAGGGACAGCAACATCAAATCTAGGCGCTTGCGGGGGATTTAGCGAGACGGGTTGTGTCAAGTGAGGCAATGTTTGACGTGTTGCTCTAGGAGATGTAGGCATTGACGAAGGCGGCTGCGCAACATGATCTTCTACCTGATGTTGTGGAGGACGAGATATATTCTCAAGCGAGCGAACACCGTGCAGTCGATTACTGGGAGGAATGACTGCGTCAATTTCCAATGCTCGCGGAGCTTTCGGTGCCGATGGAGGAGGCTGTTGCTGTAGGGCCTTAGGTGCTGATGGCGCATCTGGTGGCGGAAGAGGCTTCTCTTCAACCGCAGGCTTCACTTCTTCAGCAGCCGGTACATGGTCTGCGGGCTTGGCGTCAGGAACGTTCTTGGGTGTCGAAGATGACGCAGCTGAAGTTGGAACAACTGAGAAGCTGAAAGCAGGGACAGGCGGCGCTTGAGTCGGCGGGCTAGAGCCTCGAGATCCATATCTGTTCGCTGTAGTTTCTGCCCTACCATTAAGATAAGCAGGCGTTTCTGGTGGCGGATCTCTCCTGCTCGTTGCTGCCGGCATGGGAGTTGTTGACGATCGTCGCACCGCTGGATCTGCCCCGGAGCTTTCGATGATGGCTAAGCGAGCCGGATTGATTGGCGGGTCTGCTGTTGTAGGGAATGCGGAGTTTGCACTGGGAACGGTGTCGCTTGACATGCGACCCTCGAGACGTGCAGGCAGCGGATCTCTCCTGGTGCGATCAAGCTCCCTCTCCCTTTCGCGCTCCCGCTCAACCCAGTCGGGACGCCTATCATCCTCGCGGCGATCGAACCTGCGCTCATCTCTGCGTTCTGGATCTCTGCCATCGCGTGACAGGTCTCGTCCAAATCTCGGTGGCGGACTGCGGTTCCTGCTTGGAAACAAATCTCCTCGATCGTCAATGGCGCGTCGACCACCACGCGTAGAAGGTCGAGGATCAAAGTCCCCGCGGCCTCGTCCTCTTCCAAAACCACCTCGATATGACGATCCCGAGAATGGAGCGCCGTCTGAGTAGTTCGATCCCGCAGAAGGAGGACCGTCGCGTGAGGCTCGGCGGGCACTCCGGATGTCGATGTCACGTGGCGCAAAGTCCCTGGGCTCTTTAAAGTTCCTTGGCGGAGAACGGTCGCGAGGTGGAGGCGATCGTTCTCGCCGATCCGGATAATCGCGTTCTCGAAATGAAGGTCGTGGTCGCTCACCACTTCCTAAGGGCGGCGCATCAGCGAGTCTTCGTGGTGGTGCACCGGATCCTAGGCCAGACGGGGGAGGTCCGCGCGGTGGAGGTCCGTCAAATTGCGATCTGGGGCCTCTTGGCGCGTCTGCAGCATTGCGCGGTGGAGGAGGCCCTGAATGCCGAGCGTCGAAGATGCTGTTCGCGGTCGAGCCTCTCCTGTCTGCAAAGCGCGGCGGCGAGCGCGACCTGTCTGACGGTCCTCTGTAGTTGGATCCGCTGCGATACGACATGAAAATTGGCGGCGGCGCCTTTCAGGAGCGCCACGCCGCAGAATGCGACCAGGATGTTTCTGTGCGTGAAGCTTGATTGGCAGGCGTCAACTACTTCATCGGCCAGCCGTGAAGCGTTGCTGCGATCATCCAAGATGCAAAGTCGTCGCAAAGGAGTGTGGGCGGATGTATGCGGCAATAATGGGAAAGTCGTGTTTAGTTGGCTGGATTGAGCTTGATTTGTTTGAAGGTGCAGCGCCAATCTCAAAGGTCGAGTGCCACTAGCGGGCGGGTAGGCGCCACAAGCGTGGAGCGTAAAAGAAGCTGGGTACGCTGCCGGGGACGCTGGGCTCGTGCGGCTTCTGTTCAACTCTTGCAGGCGTGCCGTGCCAGGCAGGCGGGCAGGCAGGCGGAGAAAGGAAAAGCAGCGGATGAGATTCGACTGCCCCAATGGCCTGTCCAATGCCGTCGTCAAAGCCCAGAAATCCCAAAGTCGAAGGTGAAGCCCATGGACTGAAGACCATGCGCGTCTTGAAAGATCCGAGCGAGATCGAGACTCTCCTGGCGGCTGTCACGCAGGCGGCGGCGGCGGTCTCCAGCACTCCGGCTCGCGAGATGTCCCTGGCGTCGGCGAAACAAGAGCAGAAAGTTGGACGAGGGAGCCAGCAGATCGCGCTCTCTCGGTCGGTCCAAGTCTTGGCGTGCAATGAGAAGGGTAAAGGTGGTTCGCAGACGGGAGGACAGCGTTGTTGGTGAGAGGATGACTCTGGTGGAAAGCGAACTGCTTGGGCCAAGCTGCGGGATCGAGAGTCTCCAGACAGATGATGGATGATGCGGCCAATCAACGCGCAGCTACCGAAGCCTGCATCTTTAACTCTACCGGCCGACAGGGCCTAGCCGAGACGCATCTCACTCGAGCGTTGACGGTTGGGGAGTGTTTCATCGAATCGACTCCTGGTTCTGGGGTCGGACAAAGAACCGCCTCTTCGCTTCGAGGTTGTGCTTGTGAGACAGATTCATCGTCAACCACGCGCGATGGATGGCATCGTCTTGCACTGCCTGCACTACTCATGCAAGTGTCTGCAGTGATGCGTGACGAAGGGTGCGAGCCCAGCAAAGCAACGACTGGGGTTTGAGTAGCGGATGGCGTTGCATGGATTGCCACGGCGGATGGGAATACCAAGGCAAGGATGCCAAAACTGCTTGATGTCGTCAGCGAGCCTCTGGTCCCTGAGAGCGTGGGCATCTCGTTGTCGAGCATTGTGCACAGGATATTTAGGAAGAGTAGTGTGCATACCAAGCTATCGGGTCTATACTGCTGCTATCGTGACTCTCCCAGAGAAGTCGTCGCGCTTTTCGAAGCCCCGGCGAGGACTGGTGCGCCATCGTCCGCGTCCGCGTGCGGGATCCTGGACGGCACATGTTCTAACTTCTTGGCGACATAAAGATTTGGTGCAACTTCCCTTCCGTCCACCAGGTCGAGGACTAATTAGAACAGGCCTGTCCGAACATGGCTTCCACGAACGGCAGCTCCTCAAATGACGCAGCGCCCTTCGGTGCGCAGAATGCTGTGCTCAAGCCTTCAGACCCAGTGCCCGACGGTGCAGCCCCTGTCAAAGGGCTAGACTTTGACGCATTCGCGGATCGCAATGTCACGGTCGCAGAGTTGGTGCAAAGCATGACGAACATGGGCTTCCAAGCGACTTCGATAGGCCAAGCGGTTGACATAGTGAACGGCATGGTATGCACAAAGCTTCTGCCGCAAGCTTCTGCGTCGCGAATTGTGTTGACTTTGCGCGACAGAGGACTTGGCGGGATCCTGAATCCGGTGAAAAGACTACTATTTTCCTTGGATACACGTCCAATCTCATATCATCGGGACTGCGCGAAACATTGAGATGGCTCGTACAACACAAGCACGTCTCGGCGATTGTCACCACTGCTGGCGGAGTCGAGGAGGATTTCATCAAGTGTCTCGGTAAGACCTATCTCGGCTCCTTCTCCACACCCGGAGCTTCGCTGCGTGCCAAAGGCATGAATCGCATTGGCAATCTCTTAGTGCCAAACGACAATTACTGCCGCTTTGAAGACTGGGTGATGCCAATCCTCGACACAATGCTCGAAGAACAGGAAGCATGCAAGGGTTCGGGCGAAGCAATCCACTGGACTCCCAGCAAAATCATCAACCGGCTTGGCAAGGAGGTCAACGACGAATCGTCCGTGTACTACTGGGCATGGAAGAACGACATTCCAGTGTTCTGTCCGGCGCTTACTGATGGCAGTCTCGGAGACATGCTGTACTTCCACACGTTCAAATCCTCACCGCAGCAGCTTCGAGTCGACATTGTGGAAGACATCCGAAAGATCAACACCCTCGCCGTCCGAGCCAAGCGCACTGGCATGATCATTCTCGGAGGCGGCATTGTCAAGCACCACATCGCAAATGCCAACCTGATGCGCAATGGCGCGGAAAGCGCAGTGTACATCAATACCGCGCAAGAATTCGATGGCTCGGACGCAGGTGCCCGACCAGACGAAGCAGTCAGCTGGGGGAAGATCAAAGCCGACGCAGCTAGCGTCAAGGTATGCCTGAATCGTTCTTCAGCAGCCAGTATCACACACTTACACGAGTTCGCAGGTGTATGCCGAGGCGACAGTAGCATTTCCGCTCGTTGTCGCGGCCAGCTTTGCGAAGGTTGAGACAGAAAGTGCAGCGTAGAGCAGGGTGAGGCTCAGAATAATACAATGGTCGGAGAAATGCGCTGCCCTGCGAACGCTCGCTCATGGCGCTTGCGCAAGGCACTTCTGGCGCTTATGCACGTTGCACGCCCGACCGACTGCTAGGTGTGCCGCAAGCCTTGACGTGGTGTGGTCTCCGGTCTCCGCCGTGCGGATCAAGCAAGCCGCAGGAGGTGGGTTGTCAGTGACAAGGCAGCGCAGCCAGCCAGCACAGCAGGCCTGGAGGCTTGTCCAGCGCATTGAAGTCCTGTATCTGCTGGGTCGGAGCAAGTCATAGTGGAAGTTTTGCAGGCATGATGCTGAGACGTTCAATTATTGTAGCTTCACTTTGCACAAGTCGGAAGCGTCAGAATTCTAGGTTCGTGGTGCACGTGCCTCATCCGCTATTCTAGTTCTAGCGGCGGGGCTGTCGATCAATCATCACCTCACGATCTGGCGGCTCAAGCTCTCGAGGCCGCACTGCAGCCTTGGGAGCATAGCGGATGACACAGGACGAAGCGTCGAGGCATCTGATCTGACAGTACTTCGAAGAGGCTCACACGTGTTCTCTACAGTAAACGGCACGCTCGTTCTCGAAGCACCGTCTGCACTGCACAGCCAACTCCAGATCACCCGCAGCCGCAGCGGGCACCTGCACGTGCGGTCAAACGCAGCTTCACGCGCCTTCTCGCTGCAGGTGCACAACGGCCGCCGACAATAGCAAGATTACGACAGTGAAGCAGGCTCTGCTTCCTATTGTGCGGTGTGTCTATTGTCGGCCGGTTGAGCAATCAAAAGAACGTTCACCTTCGTCTCAACCACTCTCTTCCCTCTCTTACACACATATCGCTTCTTCAGACAGCACTTTGCCCACTACACGCACACGCCCTCGCACACGCCCTCTCACCGCGACTGACACACTCTGATCACTCCGGCGAGCGCAGCACATTCATCACCCTCAATCCACAGCGACCGCCGCCGCCATGGACGCTCCTGGCGAGCCGCCAGCACCACTCGCTCGCATTCCGACACCACCAATCCCACCTTTTCTCCAGATCCCAACTGGCCTCCAAGCTCCTCAGCCGCAGGTGCAGGCACCCGGCTCCGAGAACACTTCTCGAGACACTCAAGAGCGAGCAGAAGACACTGACCACTCTGAGAGCGACCGTGACCATGACTCCGAAAGCGAGAGCGATAGTGAAGATGCTGGAGCAGCGCCTTGGAGCGCCATCAACGAAGACACGACGGAGCCGGGTGAAGACGAAATCGTCTACATCAAGCGCAACGCAGGCTTTGAGCCAAGCGCCACGGACGACGAATATTGGCAGAAGATAACATTTTTCGAGCTCAATGACCCGGATTTGGTGAGTCTTGCTCGGGCAAACCAGTCCAGCTGAGGCCCTCACGTTACAGACGGTGGTGCCGCCTGGAGGCACTGATTCGGAGCGAGGTATTCGGAATCGCTAACATCTCTTCAGGTCCCAATCGAGGCAGGCACGATCGACTGGATGCTTGAGCACTACAATGGCACTGCAGAAAAGCCAAACAACGAGACAGTCATGCGCTCACCCATAGTCAATGTCGGCGGTTACGACTGGCGCATCAAGTTCTACCCAAAAGGCCACCGCTCCGAATACCTTTCCGTCTACCTCGAGAACGTCACGATCCAGTCTCCAGAATGGGAAGGCACCGAAGACTTCGTCAACCCACCATTTCCATTCCTCAAAGGTCAAGAGCGTATCAAGAAGCGTCGTTCCGTTGCTGCACAGCTATGCATCATCATGTACAATCCCGCCGAGCCTCGTGTGTTCGAGTACCAGGTGAGTCTTCGGCTATCAGCTCCGCCACTCCACACTTGTCATGCAAACCACTTCGCAGACAGAAGTGCTGACTCTTTTGTTTTAGGCGGAAGCGCATCAATTTCACAAGAAGTCTGCTGACTACGGCTGGCGATATTTCACCAAGTACTCCCGCTACGACTTCCACCTTCGCCAACACGGGCAACGCCAAGCCATCTTGCGCAACGATAGACTCGCTTTCCGCGCCTATATCCGTGTCGTTGACGATCCAACCGGCTGCAAGTGGGAGCATGGCGACCCGTCACCTGACATAATCACGTCCACAACAGGCCTTCGCCCTTTCACCAAGTCTTTGATATATATCGCTGCGGCGGTACCTCTACTTCATTTCCAGCCTTTCAGAGAATGGGTGAAGTCACTGCGCGGCGATAAAAAAGATACTCGCGGATACCTTCAGGCTCTATTGCTCAAGATGTACACGAGAAAGCGCTCCACCAACTTCGGTAATCCAGGCACCCAATTTCCAGGTGATGTGCTTGAGATGCTATGGCGTCTTGCGACCCGCGTCTCGATCAATTTCGAAGGAACAGAAGAACCCAGCAAGTTTAAGGAACTGGTTGGCGGCTTTCATCCGGACAAAGGAGGTGCGTGCGGTGCCAACCGACTGCCAACGAAGGATCACAGCTCACTACAAGCGGCTGTCGATGAGCATACCAAAGTAAAGGTCATTTCCTGCCCTCAGCTACTGACGCTCGAGCTGCAGAGGCAAGAGCACGACAAGAAAACGAGGGTTTGGAAGAAATTGGTCAACAAAGTCGAGATCCCTGACAATCTCAATGTCAGCGGTGTTGCATACACCCTGTTCGCCTTCATTACTCATTGCGGGCCTCTCAGCTCCAGCCGATACGTGCCTTACGTGCGTCCGCGCGGAATTGGCAGGGGCTGGTACGCATACCATGACGGCAGAGTCACGATCTTGACCGAGACAGAAGCTCGTGGCAAGCACTCTGGCTTCAAAGAGCGCTTCCGCCCGCCATCCCCTGGCTCTGGCTACGACTCTCCCTTCAGCCAGTATAACGAGCATGTCGACGCGGAAGTCACATGCGCTGTGATGTATGTTCGCGATGACATCGCACCACAGGCTTTCAACTTTCCAGACACTGAGGAATGGTCACCTCACCATGCCAACCAAAAAGATTACGATCATCCACTCAAGACTGCGATGCATGAATACTTCGATCAAAGCCAACTTCCCGCCGCGTTTCAGCCGAACAGTACGACGATTTCATTTGAGCCGGGCAGGACTGTCGCTCTGCCAAACACGTCAGCTTTGCAGGCTCCGACCGTCGTTCTGGCGCCTCCGCTACCTCAGATGGACGGAGAGGATGTTGTCATGAGCGATGCTGACGACGACTCTCAATTCGCGGCGATTGAGGAAGGAATCACGGAGCCGACGAGCCTATGCAAAGGCACGCACGACTGGCTCGGTCAACACTATTATGAGGGAGACTACAACGAGGCTCGGCACCAGCATGGCGGCGGTCACCTGATCGACGTCAATGGCGATGAATATCTAGGTCAATTTGACGACGGAAAGAAGGCCGGCCACGGCAAGATCTTCTACGCTGCCTCAGGCCAACAATATGAGGGCGATTGGCTCGACGACTTGCCGCACGGCCACGGCAAGCTGACGGAAGCCAGTGGCAACGTCTACGAAGGTGAATTCAGAGAGGGTCGCAAGACTGGCCAGTTTGTTCTTCGCGGCACAGTCACCGAAGAAGACAAGGGCCAGTGCACCATCTGCTTCGAGAATGAGATCACGACGGCCTTCTACGACTGTGGGCACGTGATCTCGTGCCGCGATTGCGCCGTGAAGATCGATTTCTGTCCTGTCTGTCGCAAGCGGGTGCTGCACAAGCTGCAGCTGTATGGTGTCAAAGTACAGGTTGATTGAGCAACATTTTGGAATTAGCGAGGAGTTCTGGGAAGAGAAGATACCCTAGAAGCATTGAAGTACGTAGATTTTGTCATGGAATTGCATTGGACCTCAGCCCTAGACTTCTTTCTGTGCCGTCCACGTTGGTTTTCGGGTGCCATGAGGCTGCGACGAGACTGGAGTCGACGTGATGTGGAGCCTTCAAGGCCTCTCCCAAAGTGGGCTTCGAGCCTCGCTTTCAATGTTTCGCTCTGCACGATAGCACTACTTGATGGAGTCCATGTTGCTTCTCGGGTATGCTATGAGCGCCCAAGCGGACTGGAGTCAACGTGCTATGGAGCCTTTGGCAGACCTCCTGAATTGGACTTTGGGCTGGATTTTGCACTCTCGCTCTCTGTAAGAGTATTTCTCGATGCAGTCCGTGTCATTTTGCGAGTACTACGAAGCCGTGGAGAGACCGGAGCCATCGCAATGTGATGCGGTCTAGACCTCTCTCAGACTGGATATGAGCTCGATTGCAGTACTCGACTCTGCGTAGCAGCCTTCCTCGAACAAGTTGGTGTTGCTTTGCAAGCTTCACGAGGCTGCGTATGAGGCGGAGGCAACGGAACGTGATGCTCTTGAAATCTCTCTCAAAACTGAGCTTGAAGACGATCTCGGTCTGACAACACTAAGCGACGGGATCCGCATTGCCTTGCATGTGGCACGGGCCTGCCGAGGTCCTGGAGCTGAGAGCCTGGAAGGCTGTTCAGAGCTGCTCATACGCGTAGTCCAAGAGCCAAATCGGACCTCTTACTCTATGCGCCGGCTTCTCTCGGAGCATTCCGAATCAGTCTCTGGGTGCTAGGAAGCTATACAGAATATGCAGTCAACATGATGTGAGGCTCTTGAAATAACACCTGAACACCGATCTCATGCATGCCGTCCAGTCTCTGCGCGATCCTTGGTTGTCTACACTTCGACGGGATTTGGTCTCTAACCCTGTGCCACTGTGCCTTTTAGCATGCTTGCAAACTGACGTGGACTGCTCGGAGAGGGGACGAAATAGGAGCTCAGCATCTGTGAAGCTCTCAGAACATCACTTATGCGACGATTTTGGTGTTATGTCGTGAGCAATTCTTGTATGTTAGGGAATTTAGCGTACCACTGTTTGCAACAGTGGTTTACTTCCGGAGGGCGTTATCCACTGACTCAGTATGGTTTGCCTAGTAATCGACGGTGCTTTTCCTATTATAGTACCGGGTTAACCTTCTCGGTTATACCTCCGATTCCAACCTTATCTCTATAGCTAATTCTCGTATATAGATTACTAGTAAGCTCTTTCTAATAGTTCAAATAGTATAATTAGTTTACTATTATTACTATGCCGCCTATATTAACTAAACTAGTACCGCTATTTAGGCCTAATCGTATACTATATAACATAATCGATATCCGAGAGTAGCTATTTAATATACTATAGGGGTTAATATACGAGCCTAAGCGCTTCGAGGTACTAAAGGCTTATATTAGTAACGTATATAAGGAGTTAAAGTCGCCGAGAACAAAGGATAGGTTAGAGTAGCGGTCGTACTAGTATTGTCGCTATAGGCGCGATTAGTAGCGGAATAGGTTACTAGGAGAGGGCATTCGTAAGGCTAAATATAATAAAGAGCCGTATAACGCTATAGTAGTCGTTATATCGCATTATCGGAGTAGAGCGACTAATCTATACGAAATTAGTATCCGCCGCTATAGAAGCGATCCTTTAGCGATTAGTAATAACCTATATTGCTACGACCTAAGATATATAGATATTCGGTTAGTAAACAACGCCCTAAAAGTCCTCCTCGAGGAATTAATAGAATAGCGCGCTTTTAACGTTACTAAGGTGTTAGACTTTGTTAAAAGGGGGCTATTAAAGGACGAGTTTAGCAAAATTAGCGGATAGTATCTAAAGGCTAGTATTATAGCGTAGTTAAAGATTAGGCCTAACCTAAGGAAGGCTCGTGCTAGTAACCGTAGAAATACGAGTATCTAGCTAGACGACCTTGCTATCGCGCTAAAGGGTGTTTGTAATAATATAGACGGTAAAGAGCTCTAATTCTAGGTAATATCGAAGATACTAAAGGGTAAGACAGAGCGTAGTATTATCTTTTAGAGCGAGTAGTAACGAGAGTTATTAAATACCGAGGCAGGAGATATAAGTGTTATTGTTAGTGTTAGTAGTAGTAGTATAGAAGGCAGGCGTATAACTAAGCTTCTAAAGCTTGCGTTCTATAGTTCCTACTACTAACTTTAAAAATTCAAAACATTACTAACTTATATACTATATAGTTGTTCTTACTAGACGCGACTTATAAGACTACCGACCTTAGTTAGAACCTTTTTACTATCTATATTCGTAATACGTTAGGTTATTAGCTACTAGCAGGCTACCTATTGCTAGAATCGTAGAAAGCTAAGCTCGTAGAAGCCGGACTTCGAGCTATTAAGGTATAGTTACTACTATAGAAGCCTATTATAGCTATAGTCGACGACTCGGCCTTAGAATAGGCGGCTATTAACCTCTCGTAGAAGGATAACGATTAGGTACGAATTTACCTCTACTAGCGGTACGTTAAAGAGACCTTCCTTCGCTCGTTTCTAGAGGCCTAGTTTCTAGAGATTATTAAGCGGTTTTACTACTTAATCTACTACGTACGTAGCGTAGGCGACGTTAGTACTAATATAGTATAGATTTAAGAGTAGTTATAAGAGCATACGCCTATAGGATAGCAGGACAAGGTCTAATACATACGCTATAATTAGAATAGCTAAACTTTACGGAAATAGGCAACTTAGGCGCGGCTCTATAGTCTATTATTGCTACAAATAAGGACTACCTCGCCCTTAGAGGGCTATTACTATGCTATTAAGTATAACCGCAACAAGCGCAACCTAGTGTTCTATATACTATATAGCACTATTATCGAGGTTCTTAAAGTCGACGATAGGTAGGCTTATAAGGTATAGCTAGCTAGTTATAGGCTCGGCAAACGCATATAATATTAGTACTATAAGGGCCTTCTAGGCTTCAAGACACTGCAACTACTAGCTGCTTAGGATTATATTCGAGAACAGGTAGATATTGCTATTAAAATAGAAGCTAAGGCAGCACCTATATATAAGGGTATACTACGCAGTTATAACTGTATAACTCCGGCTCGCTATAATTGCCTCGTATAGTTTCAAACCCGCCTACCTTGCTACTATATTCTACGTAACTATCTGTTTAATAGACTCGAAATTAGTAAGCTATAATAGCGACGATATATCGAGCTGTTTCTAGGCCTAAACGTTATGTTTGCTTACGAATACTAGCGCGCTCTCGACACTTAATAACTCGTAATCGAAGGTTATAAAGAAGACGCTATTACCCTAGTATAAACACCTCTTTTAAGAGATCTACGAGGCTACTTTAAGGAGGCGGTAGAAACGCTAAATCTAAAGTACTAGCGGATTAAGGACGACCCTTCTATTAATAGTACTATAAAGGACGCATTCTACGCCTTCTACGTATAGAAGGTTAAAGACTTCTCGGACAGTTACTACGCGTTAAATATTAACTATTTTATCGCTAACCTATAAGAGGTCTATTTTATAGGTAAGACCGAGCGACAGTAGACAACTTAACTACCTTCTAAACTAGCGACATCTACTCGCGCTTAATTGCGACCGCCGACAACGCCGGAAATATACTACCTCGTTTATTCTAATATAATACTACGACCGTTACTATTAAAACGGCGTATTTAGTCGTTACCTATTCGCTAACCTATAGTCTTATTACCTCCGCTAGGTAACCTTACTCCGAGGCTATTTCCGCGCCTTCTACCGCCCTCCTTTAATATACCGCGCCGCGAGACAATACTAGATATATAGTCCTTATAACCGCTCGATTTAGACGACGTTAAAGAGGTAGATTTAATAGGAGATACACTATTAGTACGAGGTCTACCTACGCCGCTAGGCACTTACTATTTAACTAACTAACAGAATTAGGGTAAGCTATTATAGGTCTTTATATACGGTATTCGCGAGATTAACGGCATTACTATAGACGACCGTTACTTTACCGATTCCGGCCTCTCGTCGTTCGAGGAGCTTCTTATCTTCTATAACGTAGACTAGTATACTATAGATACGATAATAAGCTATATACGAGATAAGGATTACGAACGAGCGGCTAGGCGACTAACTAGTTAGACAATAGACGACTCGGAAGACAACGCCGCTAATAACCTGCCTAGTAACGAGCGAGTTAGACGAGAGATAAGAGGTATAAGAACATATAGTAACCGCTAGTTAACCGCTAGTTAGTTAACCGCTAGTAAGTTAACAGCTCGTAGACAACGTACTAAGTAATAACGAGGTCGAAGAGATAGCAATTAGCGTAGCTAGGCTTTCTAATATAGTCGTAGAAGGCGGTAATTATATAGTAACAATAATAGTCTCTTCTACTACAAAATTGCTGCTTCTATAATAGTCTCTTCTACTATAAAATTGCTACTTCTATAATAGTTAAATAGTTAAATAGCCGCTTTACCGATAGGCTTAAGAGAGGCGCCCTTCTTAACCTAATTCGTTACTACGCCGAGCGGTTCTAAACGCTACTAAACTAGAGGATTGCGGGTAGCTTATTGCCTAGTAATTACTAGTAAAACGCTATACTTATAACTCTATTTAGGTTTTACTAAAACTCCTAATATATATAACAAATCCTATTATAGCCTTCGCCTACCTCCTTCTTAGGCTCTTTATAGTAACTTCTTCGGCTACATTTGTACCTTCTACGGTCTACCTCTCTTATTAATTTGCTCTTAATCTAGTTTAGTAGCCTAAAGATGTCTTTATCGAACTTACTCTAGTTCGTGCTGCTCTACGCATAGGCGTACACTTAATACTTAGCTATAGTAACGAAGCGTTATATAGCGTAGGGGTATTAAATGCTATTAATTACCTCGAGCGCTAAACTAGTAGCACTAGTAATAAAGGGATCGTCGCTACTAGACGAAGAGATAGGAGAAGGCTAGTATAGTAAGGCGCTACTATAGTAGAATAGTAAACGTAAATCTATCGGTAAATCTAGCTA